CGTATCACCAGCAAACTGGCAGCGCAGAATTCCTCCCCGCCACCAGGGTAAGGACATTCGGGTGACTGATCTAATGACACGGCGAATGCAGCCAGACACACGGTATAATTTGGGGCAAACCCCCCAAAGACGGTGCAGACACCCCATCAATTCCCCAGAGTCAGTGGGGGTGGAGGAATTTTCCCTGGAATTTATCAGAGTTGCTGCAACAGGTCACCCAGCGGATCTTTCTCCACCATTTGCTGGTTGCACCTCGAGATGCCCAGGACAGGCTGCGAGGGGGGCTGCAGAACAGCCTTTCCCGGCAGAAATGTCTCGCCACCCTCCTGCCAAGGACCCAGTGGGTGGTTTTCCACTAGTGGGACCCTGAGATGTGAGAACTAACCCCAAAGATGCATGCTGCACAAGGAAACACCCAGTTTGCTCGCTCCCTTGGCAATCCCCCCGTTCTGCAGCCGTCTCAGGGGGTTGGGAAGCTTTGGCTGCCACGCTGGGTCCCCCCAGCCGTACCTTCACACGTGGGGGGAGGTCCTTCAAACTGGAGATGGGTGCTGAGTTTGCAGGTGAGGATTTCGTTTCCAATCAGGGTGAAGCCGGGAAGGCACCTGTACCGCACTATGTCACCTACGGACAGAGACAGAAACCTCCTGACCCCAGGGAAGGAGCCGTTCATCGAGGCTGAACCGTGGGAAGGGGGTTCCCTCGGGGCACAGAGACCCCTCAGCCCTGCCCCTGCCAGCCAGCTTTGGCATCACGGTGCAGAAATAAAAGGCGCAGAAAGGCACGCTGGAGTCTCGCTTGGGATAAACGGCTGTCATGCCGCTGAGTGCTGTGATTTGTGCGAGCTATTTCAGGTGGAGACTGCCCTCAAAGAGAGCAGACAGTCAGAAAAGCTGCTTTAAAAAAAATAAAAAATAAAAATCACAGCTATTTCACGGGTTGCAGACATACTTAAAATGTGGATGTAACTGCGAGCAACAGCAAAAAATACACAAGATGCAGTCAATAAGGGAGAAAGGTTCTCAAAAAAAAAAAAAAAAGAATAACGGCTGCTAAGCTTTCACACAATGGTTTGTTTGAAACACCTGAGAAGTGGTATTGTGGCAAAGATTTCTGAATGTTTCCGAACAAGCTCAGGGCTTTCACAAAAGCCAGGCTGCTTCCTCTGTACGAACAGAGAGGAACAGCCTCGGGACAATCGGATCAACTTGGGAATGTCAGGTGTGGAGCCAGGTCACACACACAGGGACACGTCTCGAAGCCCCCGATACCGGGTGACAACACATGGGTGCCTCTGTGGCATTCCCACAGCTGGCGAGGGGGGAAAGGAGGGCTGGGAGGACCAGGCGAGCCTACCGATGTGAAATTCTTCGTTCTCGGTGATGATCTCCGCATTGGGAACGATGGTCGGGGGCTGGCATCTGAAGAGCTGGTAGGCTGCAGGAGAGCAAAGGGAGAGCGGCAGATGTTAAGCTGGGGGCGAAGGCAGCCGTGGACGTCTGGGCGCTGAGCACAACGGCCGTCAGAGCAAACCCTCCCTCTCCATGAGCAAGGAACCAGCAAAGCCCAACCAGCCCTGTCCTCCTCCAAAGCCTAGAGATGCCCCACAGCAGCTTTCTCCAGCTCCTTACGCATCACAGGAACCAGTCTGTCTAGGGAGGTGCAGGTGCCCAGACAGAATCAGACCATTTAGATGAACACTGAACATTGACTGACATGAGGCACCAGCACCTTGTGAGATGCTAAGGGAGAAGATCTTGGTGATCTCAGTGGAATCAGGTCAAACTGCCAAACTGGGCGTTTTTTCAGGGGTGCCATGTGGCTAAGTGGGAAGAAGGCACCCAGCCAAAGAGCAGAAACAACTCCTTATGGCTCACGCACCCGACCAAATACAATGCAAACAGCAAATTTTCCACCAAGAATTCAAGATCAGCCAACGCTGAGCAAAACACACGCACCGCTTACGAGCATGTGGGTGCACAAGGCTCCAGCGCTGTGCTGCTTATGAAAATAAACACACGAGAGCTGCGAGCACGGTTCAATTGAAAATACGGTGCTGGGAACTAAATGAATATTAATGAAAGACATTTTCTGCTATTTGCTCAGCACTTCTCTGCGTCTTTGCTCCCCTTGCACCTGACCCTGGACAAGCATAACTTCCTCTGAAATTTATATCAGCCTTTTAATTTAAGATACTGGAGCTCAAGCTGCCACTGAATATTAATTCTTCCTAACTCCACGCTGTCGAACTCTTCGCACCACGGCAAGGCTGGCAGTCCTGGCCGCGACCTTAATGAGGCTTCGGAGGATGCTTAAATACACATCGACAGGAGGAGATGTCTTGCCCAAATTTCCCTACCCCCTAAGCCAGGGGAGGACAATGCTTTCCCAAAAGCTGTATGAAAACCAGAACGTTCAGAGGTCCAGGGAAGGGGCTGGAGGGAACACAGCTGGATAATGTGAGGGATGGGTTTCTGTATCCCACGTGTGCAAGGCGGAGAGAAAACCAAAGACAGGCTGGAACAGCGAGCTGAACCCAACCCGGGGTGGGGGCAAAGGAAAGTGGCAGCTCCGCAATGCCAACAGCCAGCCCCTTCCGTGCAGCATGGGAGCACGGAGAACGGATACGGGAAGGAGCTGGGAGAGCCCATGGGATGGGAAAGGAGCACGAGGCAGCGGGGAGAGCCCTTCACACACCAGAGCCGTCCCAGGAGGGAACGCATTCACAATCTTTTAAACATATGTTTGACAGTGGGGGAAAAAGGAAAGGGTAACAAAAATTTAAATTAAATGCTATTTCAAAGTGCTTGACAGCATCTATTGAGGTGGAAAGATAACCCAGCATTTCCAGCATTAATCTCTCCTTAATGGGCCACATTTCCATACACAGGTGCGATTACGATGGCTTCAGCATATGGGTGAGACAGCACCGGTACAGCTCCTTTCAACAGCACATCCATTTGTTCTCACCAGGACAAAACAGAGTCCCGTCCTTGAAGCCACACCGGGACCCCCGCCAGCTCCTGGGCCATCAAACCCTCTCCCATCACGCTCCCGCATCAGCTCCCGCTGGCACCTGAACCAGCCCATTTAATAACAGGTGCAGCATCATCCTTTCCAGGGGATGCTACCGGATCCTCAAGCCCTGTGAGTCATTCTTTTGTTTCCCTTCCTCCACCCTAAGGAAACCTTTCTCTGCAGGTATTTAAAAGGGTACTGGTTCTCTGACACGGTGCTGGTCATCACTGTGGGAGCAAAGACAATTTAAAGCTGAGGGAGGACGTCTCCTATGTCCTAGATCTGTCAGCATGCAGACACAGAAATGGAAATAAACACTGCTGCAGATCCCAGGGAAACTGCATTTCCTCCCGTTACACCCCAAAGATGGAAGTGGCTGCACTCCCTGAGCCCCATGTGAGAAGTCCCCCCTTTCTCCTGCCCCTTTTCTCTGCGTGCAAGGCACCACACGCAGAACAAGAACTCAGGAAGGAGAATCATCTCACCCTGGAGGCAACCACCTCCATCCCTTAAATCTTCAGGGTTAGGCTTTATTTTAGCGCAGTCCCGCGTACAAAGGGAGCAATAAGCCAGTAAATGACACGTTAATACAAGGCCAGGCAGCTGCCAGTGCCCAGCTGGTTAACTGGTTATAAATGACTGCTGGCGTCCACCGATTCCTACCAGCACCAACTCCAGCCCTCTCCATCATGCCCGCGAGTGGCTTTATACCCCAAATAAACCATCAGCTACAGAAAACCTCAGTATAACGTGCCGTCAAGATTAGAGCACAGCAACATATGCTGATGGGCTCAGCCACAGCGATGATAGCATCTAATTCATATCACAAAAGGCAGCATCCGCTGAACTGCGGCCGTGTTTACATACTGCTCATTTCTCAGCCAAACTGCCTACACCATAATTTTTTGCATAACTGTTATATACGCACCATTGTCTAGCAGTATAAATCTTGCAGTGTTTTGCAGCAGTAAACCAATTCCCTTGGAAGCCCAGTGAACATCCTTCAAACCCAGCCTGTCCGTATAATACTCGCCTTTCGGAACTGAACATGAGCTAAGACATTCTGCACAGATTCATCGGGTAATTCACGCACGATTTTGTTGACGTTGTTGCCAGCAAATTACCGAAGCAAGGGGAGGTCTCCATTTGCACTTTCCAAAATCCCCGTACTGCCGCGGGAACTTGTTAGCTAATCCAATTTGAAGTTGGGCTCTTGTTTAGCGGTGGAAAGCAAACGCTCTCATTTCCAATGTAATACTCAACATCCCTCTAGCGTGAGCTGCGCTCGCACCAAAGCATCCCCCAGTAATTCGGGGATTTACAGGAATCCTTCTCCTCCCCAGAGAAATGAAGTCACCTCTCAGCTGGGACGCAGTTGCCATTTCAAACAGGACCCCCGAGATGACCCGATTGGTTTAGCACCGCGATGGAAAGACAGTGCCATGACCAGCCAACGCTGCAGGGAAGGATTTCGAGGTAAACAAGCCCAGCTATCCGTAACGGGATCTGCCGCGGAGAGGAGGGTGTTTACAGGCATCACCTTGAGAGAGGCGCGGGGCTGGCACGGCTGATAGTCTGCAGGCACTTGGCGTGTGCTTGAATTATCCCAACGTCACCGATGGATTTCTGCACAGACCCTGTGACCGCCCGCCAGCCCTTGACTGAATGAGACCTTCAACCTCAGACCTGTAAAACCGGGCCCCTTGCAGAAGACTGCGGGTATCAGTGAATATTTGCACATCTCCTCTTCCCCAGAACTATCCCTCCCCACAACAACCCACAACCGATCCACGCCCCTCCGCACCCCGCAGGCAGGTATAAAGCACACGGTGCTCAGTCAGCGATACAGACCGTAGAAATAAACGGCAAAAATCCCTCCGTTGGCTGCATCACTGTGGAATTTCATCAGGACCTGATTGGAAGAGCTCTGGGCTGATTTCTTAGCAGAGTTGCCAGTGAACACACCCAGCTGCGGGGCTGTTTGCTGCGGACCATCCCTAAAATCATGTGTCAGGAACACAAGAAAAGAACATCATTACAGATCTTTAATCCCAGGCAACAACCAACCTCCTACGCTGCGTGCCCAGGAACTCCCCCATGCTCTCCCTTCCGTGTCCTCCCTTTTCCACAGCTATATCTCAGTCTCAGCAGCTCCCTGGGCAGCTGACCTGGACCCCCAGCCCCCTCCCCACTCCATTATAACCAGGATAACCTCTTCTGGCAGTGCAGCGCTCACCCAGTAGACAATTACAAACATGAACTTCATTTTTAACCTCCCAACTTGAAGAATTAGGGCCAGTTTTCCAAAGGAGTTTCACTCCCTGTTGGCACAGCAGACACTGAGATATCCTGAGGGCTACGAGCTCAAGAACTTGGCCACAAGCCCTTTAGCCAGTGCAGCCGTGTGAGCTCCCCTGGCAGCCTGGAGTGGATAACGCACCGTTTCCCTTCCCTTCTCCAAAGGGGAAAGGAAGAGCCCAGCCTGGATGGCTCCTAGGGTGAAGAAACCGGTGCCACTCCATTAATTGCAGATGTCACCGTTCTCAGATGCTGCTATTCAGAAGGCAGCTGGGGGTCACAGCCAGTTCTGGTGCCCAGCACCATCCCAGCATTGCCCAGGCAGCCTGGGAGACCAGCCGGGATCGCAGGGCTGAGCACCTCCGATTGCAGAACAAAAACCAAATGAGGACATTGGTAAATGTAAATGATTTACCAACGGTTTTTTTTTCTTCATTCAGCCTCTATCCATGGACAGGTAGCCATAGATAAAGCACAAAAGGATTAAAAATGAGCCCCAGGAAACGTCTGTCAGAGAAATCAGAAGTGAAGGGCAACTCCTATTATGCGAGTCCAAACAAGATTCATTTCAACTAAATTCAGCTTGAGATAAAGATCCCGTTTACCATTCATAAAGTCTCCTCTGCAAAGCCCCTGAGGCTTCCCAAGAGACGTTTCCTTATTCCATTCAGCAGAGCATTTCGGGGATGAAGGGACAGGCTGATGAAAGCATCCAGCGGGACGAGCAGGGCTCTGCTGCCCAACACCCTCCGGCCACGGCTGGGATGTCGGTCTGCATCCCACCGGCAGCTCAGCATCCCGCCGGCAGCTCAGCACCCCCACCGGCAGCTCAGCATCCCTGCCAGGAGCTCAGCCCCTCCTCAGGGTAATCGTGGCAAGCCAGAGGGACAGGGACTGCTAATGGCAGACACTGCAGCGGTCTGATGTGCTTCATGTTATCTGCTGATGATGGCAGAAATTAATGGCAAGACAGACCGGTAAGGTCTTACAGGCGCTGCTACACAGCCAAGGGCAGGATGGCTCTTTGTGAGCTGCACAACGCTGAGATAAAAACACCACGAAAGCTAAGGACAGAGTCCCCTCTAGACCCACAGGATGACATTTCCATCACTTGCTGTGAGCAGCCTGCTCACCCAGTGATCATCCCCTTCGCTGACCTTGCAGCCCTTGCCTACATTTTCAGGAACGGAACATTAACTGTGTTTGGAGACAGTCATCCTGGCCATTTGCTAGCCCCATGGTCCTTCATCTACAGGACCTATCAAGCACCTGGAGTTTAAACAATCCCAAATCCTCATCGCAGCGTCCCCAGAGGATACATCCTCCTGCTCTCAGACACAGCACTATCCACACACCGTGGCAACGGGTGCTCTACTTATCAGCAAGAGCATCTTCCTGCAGTGGAGCCTTGGTACCAGCTCAGTCCTCACCCCTCTGCTGCACCCACCAGACAGTGATGAAGTCGTTGTAGGGCTCCGTCTGTAGCAGAGTGAAGTTGAGATGGATTCCATATCCCACCGGCACCGTGAGAAGCCAAGTGCAGTCCTGGGAGTTGGGGTACTGGTTGGGGAAGCCAGGAGAGTAAACGGTACCGTTCTGGACGGTGATGTTCCCCCCACAAGGCACTGCAGGCAATCACACAGAAACACAAACATAATGAAGAAATATCCCCCAAACAATAACTCTTTAAGATCCTCTATTTCCTATTTTTCTTTAATTTTTTCTTTTTTTTTTTTTTTTTTTTTTTTTTTTGGACAGAAAGATAGTAATTCTGAAGGATCTGGCCCCAAAACCTTGCCTCAAATAATTCTCATCTGTCACACACAACTACATCTAACATTTCCAACTTAATTCCATTACAATAAATCTATTAAGTGCTTCAGAGCCAAAAGGAGACTGCCAGGGTGTTTTGTACAGATGTGACAGCCAGGTGTGCAAATAAACTATCTGATGCCCTAGTAAGAGTCTTTGGGCTCCACCAGCTGTCTGCACCCATGCACGGAAAATGCAGCTCCTGACGAGATCACTCCAGCGGGCAAATCTATCGGCGTGTTCAGACAGCACGGCCTGGACCAGACCCATGAGCAGCTGGCTATGCACAGAGCACATCTGAGCAGGGGGGAAATGATGATTGGTTTGACAGCAGCATCCAATTCATTCATCAGGATGACAGGCCTATTGCACTAGGTATCTTCCAGGTCCAAATGAACTTGCAAACTAGAGAGAGGCAACTAGAAACAGGCAGCAAAAAAGGAAAGAGAACAATAGCATCCTTGTGAAGACAGCGCAGGAGGGCCACGGGTCTCACAGTCCCGTGTACAAGCATCTTCTCCTGGACCTCCCTGGCACAGAGGTTCAACTGAAACGATGAGAACATCTGCAGCGTGTTACTGGCAACCTGCAGCTGCTGAAGGCACGGGGTCAGTGCAGTCATCTGCCTGAGCCAGCTCTGCTCTAGAAGCCACACGGCTGTATCAGCCCCGTCCTTGGCTAGGCTAACACATCCTCCCTCCCAACACAGCTCAGTGACGCAGGCTCAGCGCCGAACACTCACTCTTTGCCGTACAGGAGCAGCTCCATGGGCTCCTACCACCCTGGCCCTGGCTTGATGTGCCAGATGTGAGGTTAGAGCCTCCACATCCCCACCGCCTGCTTCTGCTCTGCTTCCTCACGTGGGCTGCCAAGCTGAGAAAAGCACGTGTATTTATGTAACTCCATATGCTCATTTTCGGAAACAAACACCCAAGGAACCTCGGGGGCCAAGCTCCTTTCTGCCCTGCAAAGCAGCAGGCAGCCTGCTGCTGATCCCTCGAAAAAAATCCCTGGAGTGGTGCTGGAAACCTCGAGCTCTGTGCATTTATTTCAGAATTACAGCTTCTCTTTTAATTAAAAGGGCTTTCAGCTGTGACCTGCATGGGAAAGGTGAGGCGGTTAGCCTAAGGCGGCGAGCCCTCGCTGCTTGCTGCTATGCAAAAACGGTCCATTTGAGGAAAGAGCTAGGAAAGTTCTGCATGCACTTTAACAGCACTAACAGCCCACCAGATGTGCACACAGAGGGGAAAAAAAAAAAGCAAATGGTCCAAAATGTACCTAACCCCTCACCCTTCTCTGTTGTCGGAACTGCTGCAAAGCAAGAAATGTACTTAAATGCAATAAAGAAGGAAGGAATTGGATGGTTGTAGCCGGCAGAGCTGATGCCTGAGGTAGGTAAGGGCACCAGCAGCACCAGCATCACCAGCCGAGCACTGGGCAGTTTCTCAGCTAACACACCTCTCTGCTGCACTGCTGAGGTCAGTGACAGACCAGCTGAGGATTTGGTTCTTTATGCTTCGTGTTCTCTGGGGTTCAAGGACTTAGGACTTAAAAGAGGAAAAACCTCTTAAAAGAGGAAAAACACCTCTCCCTCTCCTTTCCCAGCGCACAGTTCTCACGGACCAAGTGCTGTAACGGGGCTGGGATAAGGGTCAGTGCTCCTGGGAAGGGTGGTGGGAAATCTTCAATACGCAGCCTTGAACTTCTGAAGGGTTCACGTGAACACCTTCTAAAGCAAACCACACAGAACTCCGTCCGTTGGCACAAAGGATGAAAGGCTGAAACCGCCCTGCTGGGGTTTGGAAAGAGAATTTGGACGTTGGAGCTTTAATGCCTGCCACACGGATCCACTCCTTCAGCCTGCAGGGTCCCCCCAGCGTACACGGGCTTCAGAAAGGAGACCAGGCAAGGTCACTGAAGAACTCCCACTGGGTCATTCTGGAGATGCCATCGGTGCCACACTAAGGAGACTCCTCAAGGACACAACCTTCCCAGGCTACGAGCTCCCAGAGCTGCAAGAGTCTTTTACCCGGGACTGTTTTTATTTACCAATGCTAAATCCACAGAAGGTCAACATCGCTCAAGAAATAAAGCAGATGAGAACGATCACCACAATGGCCCTGGACTGCTTCATTGTGAAAGCACAGCTCCACCGGCATCAGCAGAGAGCCCGACAGTCCTCACCCACAGCACGGGATTCAAACACACCGCCTCAAGAGATGCACCTTGGCTGTGCACTGCTCAAAACGTGTGCTTTGGCCAGGCTGGGATATGCTGAACATCAGCTCACCGAGAACGTGCTTCAGCACCTCGGGGCACTCAAAGCCCACGTTCCCCACCCGCCCGCAGTGATGCTTCTGTTTCCAGAGAAACTTTCAGCCAAATTAGAAAACAATGATCCAAAAGAAGGCCAAGAACAGAGAGCTGGAGCCTTTTCTCTGCCCTGAAACACCCCGCCGGGGTGCTCTGAGGGTGACCCCAAAGCCGTACCTTCACACCTGGGCAGCGGGTGGTCCCAGTTCCTGTTGGTGCCGTGCTGGCAGGTCAGGACGGGGTGGCCGATCAGCTGGTAGCCAGGCAGGCACTCAAAGGAGATGGACTGGCCAACGTTGTAACCGGCTCCTCTGACAACACCGTTAGCAAAAGGTTCAGGGTCGGGGCACTCCTGCAGCTCGTAGGCTGGGAAAAAAAAAATAAAAATAAGGATGAATGTCTCATACTTCACAGCAGTACACCCACCATGCTGCTTGGCTACTTCCTCCTCATCCAAGGAGCTGAAAGAGAGAAGCTTTAAGGAGCCACGCACACATCTGCAGGGAGGCTGAGGGAAAACCCTGCTGCTGCTTTCGGCAGCCTCAGCCCCGGGCGCTGGGGTCTGTCCGGCCACCGGAGCCTGTGCTCAGGGTCACCCCGCGCTTCACTTCTAATGAGGAAATCTGCCTGTTTTCCACCAAAATGTGGCCAACCCCGGTGACGAATGCGAGTGACTGGGCTAACGGGCTCCACCTGGCATTATAAATTATTGGTCAGGCTGGCTGGAGCCCATTTGCATAGCAATTACCGTGAGATTACCCAGGCTGCCTCACCGAGCACATTCCTTCCTAAATTGTGCGGCAGCGCATGAATTATACGGTGCACGAACAGGACAGCCAAGACAAAATTAATGTTTTCAATTAAGTATGAGTAGCGGCTTTTATTGCTATTTCTGGGGAGTCAGCCCTTTGTCAGTCCTTGGCTGTACCACGCGGCTGGAGACGCACGCTCCATCTTGCCCACTGCTCGGATCTCTCTCTCCCAGGCAGGAGCTGGACCGCTCGGCTCGCAGCTGCTGCTCAGCAAAGCCCATCCCGACCGTGCTCAGTAGGAAGCACACGATCCGCCCCGGGCATCCTTTGCCCCTGTGTGTTCCCATCTGCCAAGGACAGGTGGACAGAGGAGACCGAAGGATTCTGCAAGGACACTCCGCAAGGCAGAGCAGTGGATCAAGGTAGGCATCTCCCATCATCTCCAAAAACTGTGCAGAGGGCATCTTTTGATTTTAATAACTTACTTCTCTACTCTCCCTCCAGGTACCCATGTTTATGGATATCCATCATTATTTTATTCTTTGTCTATTTGCTTATTTACCCAGTTCCTCCACTGGCCTGCCCCAGCACAAGGCCAGGCTGCAGCTCAGGATGCAAAATTGAGAAGCAGCTGCAAAATTCCAGAGCAAACTCCAGGCTGCTGAGGACTCTTCTCTTTGCACATGGCAGTCGACAGAGCCAAGATCTAAGTGAATCTGGTTGGAATTAATTCAAAGGCATTTCACTGTCACAAAGCACTCGAGGAACATTTGTTATTTGCCGCAGGCATGAGTCTGGGTGAACAGATCCCCGTTATTAGGATTAAGCACGGCCTTAACGTAACACCTTTCCGCTCATTTGGATTAAGTCCTCATGGAATTAATTCAACAGAACAGCACCAACCGTGATGCCAACCTTATCTCCCTGCTGCTCTCACCATCAGCACCCGGGGACAGGATTGTCCCCCCGCTGCCCGTTCGGTGGTCTCCTCACCTTGGTATTCCAGCTTGAAGCCCGGCTTGTTCTGGGAGTGGTCGCTGTGGAAGTACACCGTGGTTTCGTGAGATGTCGACAGGAGGGAGCCGGGGATGTCGGTGCCGCTGAAGTTACTGGTGTCGTACGGCCCGTTGCGGATTTCGACAAAGTCGTGGTTCGGCTCCGTGGAGAAGTTCAGGAACTGGATGTGAGCCCCTGGAGAGGAGGAATGTTAGTCTGACAGTCTGCTGCTAAAGCTACACCGAACCCTCAGCCACCCGCATCGCTCCCCCAGTGACGCCCAGTATAACCCGGTCAACCAGCAGGAGCACATTGACCTTGCTGGAGGCAGAGGGTATGTGGGTCCTGCTCGTTTCAGACAAGCTCAGCTATTAAAGCCACAGGCTCGAGCTGCTGGGGTTCCTCTGCACTCCCCTCCATCTGCCTGACACCAGAGAAATCAGGAAGCTCAGAGCTACATGGAGCATCCCTCGCCAAAGCGAGGGCACCCAGCTCGGATGCCGGGACCCAGCTGGTGTTTCATTTCCCCAGCTACACCAGGAGGAGGAGAGTTAATTCAGGAAACCCTGCGAGGCAGAACTTCCTCCAGGCTGCAATCCTTCCACCTCCTGGCAACGAGGCTTTCTGATGGGGCTGGTCTGGAGAAGAGCTGAGCTGGAGCCGTGCTCATTTCCCTCTCACTCAGGGCTGGGGAGATCCTAATTCTGAAGGTGCTGATGCCTGCATGAACTCTAGCTGAGGCAGGATATAATCCCACACAAGCTTTGATCGCTCGGTCCATTTATAAAGGGTGATGCAGCTGGTGGGGTTTTAGGGCCATTCCAGCTGGGGAAGTACACAAGCCACTACCAGATGTCACAGCCGATCCAGAGGCATGCCTGCAGATCCCCATCAACCTGCTAACACTCCACGGTGACTGTAATCTCCCTTTAAAAAATATTTATCGTTTCACAGCACCACATAAATGCACCTTTAATGGAAAGTGTGATCAAGAGGTCACACAACAGAGTTTCTGTAACTCATCTTGGCAAGAAATGCATCCAACACTGACTGAACGGGACCAGTATCATCTTATCGTCCTCTTGGTGACAGCATTGAACCAAACGCAGCCGTCTTACCAAACCCCACCGGCAGCAGTATCCTCCACGTGCAGTCCAGGTTGCTCGGATAGTTTCCTGGGAACCCTGGGCTCAGGAGCACACCTTCCATCTCTTCCGCCGTTCCTCCACACTGGGCTGTAAAATCAACAGCGTTACCGGTCAGGATCACCCGGGGGTCTCTCGGGACGATGGCCATGGCCAGCCAGCTGCGTGGGAACTAGAGAAGTTAAAAAGCAGGCAGAGAAAACAGAAAGCCTGCTAAGGAACCGGCACAACGTTTGCCAGGCACTGCGTGGCCGCATTACCAATCCACGTGCCTTCCTCTGCCCTCCGGAGAGAAAAGCCTGGACCCAGAGCTCCAGTTGTAGTGATCACAGAGGGAGAGACAGATGTGAGCTGCCAGAGGAGAGACAGATGCTCTGTTCTGTCCGTAGACATTGTTACAGCGCACATCATGCACACAGCACTTCTTGGAATTTTTAACCACCTAAAAAAATTACTGTCAAGAACCAGACCGATCCTATTTTGACTCCAGTTAGCACTGCCTCTTTTTCTGGTTAACTGGTCTACCCTGACTGCCACACTTGCCAATTTCTGGGCAATTACCGATAAATACAGAACAGTGGGTTTGCACACTGGCTGAAGCACATTCCCTACCAGGAGGCGATCCAGAGATGACAGCACAAAATAAGTTTACAAAAGACATCACATGAAATTTAAATCCAGATAGCATCTTCTCATGCTTATCTGGATGACCTCTACCTCGTTACGGTAACACCATCCGGCAGAACGACCCAGGTGCGCTCCTAACTCGTTCCGACAGATTCTCTTTGTCCGATATCTCATTATGTGCTTACTTGCTACTAACAAGGTTTCTCCCAGAAGATTCCTCTTTCTTTTTCCTCTAATGGCTCTTTAATAGGACTACTACTAAATTATTCAGAAGCCAAGCATCTGGATGAAGTAGACCAAAAGAAAATCAGCACGCTCGGCCGGGGAAGCAAGCTGTTCCCTGGGAAGAACAACCAAAGGCTGGGCTCCATCTGGACAGGGCTTAGAGACATCAGTGTCTCTAAGAGACTGGCACAGGGCAGCCAGCCTCGGGACGGTCAGCGTCCCCGTCAAAGGCAACGGCCACTCCTGATGATCTGCACTTGGCTGCAGAGATGTGTCTGTGCCTCCTGAAGCTGGATGACCTTTTTCAGCCAAGCGGGATGCGAACAGACGGGTGGATGGGCGTTTGTACCCCGGCACTTGGTCATGACTGTCCAAAATCAATCTGGATCAAACCGCGCGGGTGTTGACACTGTGACGGTGCCCAGCAGGCACAGCCCAACCTGGCAAATTCCTGCTGAGCCGGTAGTAAAGCTGTTTAAAAAGAAAACTTGGAATTTGTAGTTGCTCAGCTAGTTACCAGCTAATACTGAAATCCTCCTTCAGGCTGGGATGCCCCAACTCTAAAGCTGAGCTGAAGGGCTTCTGATCTCTTTCAGACCAGCTCCCATGGGTGAGTCCTTTAGCTCAGTCATTCTGCTGTAAATGTCTCTGCATTTATTCCTGGCCAGCAGATCACTGGATAAAAGAACTGTTAGCTCTCATAATTGCTTTAAAGCAAAATGATGTAAGCTAGAACAGCAGGAGCCTGAAATAACTGTTAACTAAAGCTATTAAATGCATAAATGTCTCTCTCAAAGCTGTAAAATGTGCAATATGAATATTAAACATCTAGATTTGCTAAAAGCAAAATACCGAAAAATAATCCAAAAACTCCAGCAAATTCCCATCACCTCTGTGCCTCTTCTCCCCAGGCTGACGCTTCTTTCACAGCAGAAACCAACTGCCCGCTCCTTTCCTCCGCCGTCCTGGAGCTCTCAGCACCCTCAGCCCTGCTCCTCGGAGGGTGCCACCGACAAAAACCTGCCTCTCGACAAGGGACCTGGCTCTTGCTGGTCACACAGGACCCTCTAGACACCAGCCTGGGGACAGCAAGGCACCAAGTGGTGCAGTTTGGAGATCCTGGGATGTAAACAGGCTCCAGTAAAAGCTGCAGTTTCAGCGACATCAAGACGCATTCCAGAAAAAACAAACCCCAGTCTTAAGATCTTTGCTTGAAGATGCAAAAAAAACCCCTCAACTGGTAAAACCAACCTGCTTTCAGTATAAAGCAGTTTCAGGCTTTCCCTCTGAATGGACTTTTGTTGAAGAAACCGTTTTGTATTTTACATTTTATCCTGTAGCCACATTTTAAACATCCAAAATAAAGCATTCTGGGCAGCCCGTAGGGACTTCTTCATGGAAATTCCCCCTGCAACAAATGAAGATTTTTTTCCACACTCTATCTTACTTCCAGAACAAACCTGCCTTTCTCTATCTCAGACCTTTACCTTTTTTTTTTTTTTTCTTTCCCCAGAAAGCGCTATTAATATCTACTAGGCATGAAAGAAGAAGAGTCGTACCGATGCAAAGCGGAGGTGGGTAATTCCAGCGGCGGACAGTGCCTGGCATGCAGGAAATGTGAGAGTGGCCCTGGAGGAGAGGAAAGCAAGACACAGGGTTCGGAGGCTCTCTCTGTATCCCAGGGGTTTGTTCTCATCTTTTTTTGCTGGAAAACATTCGGTACCTGAAGCGCGTAGCCCGGTTCACACTGGAAGGAGACGACGTCGTTCACTAAGTAGCGCTCGCCGATCTTCAGACCGTTCCCAGGAATGGGGGGCTCCGGGCAGCTGGACAGACCGACGGCTGCGAAGGCAAGAGCAGGATGAGTGCTCGGGGAGCGGGGATGGGGTCTGCGCTGAAGGCAGAGGAATGGAAACGCACACCTTCATTTCATCCCGTTCCCCTGGTTACCGACCACCTCCACCGCAGACACCGGGTGGGAAGGTCCCACGGCCTCTGGGTTCCCCACAAAGACACCCCTGACCACGCAGCGTTCCCCTGTATTACAGAGCACGCCCAGGATCCAGAAACATTCACGTGCAGTGCCTTCGCTTTACCTGGACACACTTTTTTAATGTACAAAGGTATCACAAATCATTTTGTCATTTGTGGCCAGAAGCGGTTTTGACTGGACCGCAAACGGCTTGATGGAAAAGCTGCACCCGCAGCAGCACATCCACTCACAATGCAAAGATCAGCTCCTTCTCCACGGTTCACAGACCAAAACACCCGCCACCACGAACCCTCCCCACCCGAGGTCCATATTCATGTTCTGCCACACGCTGCTTTACCAACCACATCTGATAGCAGAGGGGAGAGGATGCACGCGGGAACCACCTGCTGTCCCTCTGTGGCAACATCCCCACGTACGGGATGTGCTGTATGTCATTTGTCCCCTTCTGGGCAGAAGCAGCACGGTTCCATTCTCCAAGCCTATTCTTCCTGTTTTCAACCACAGATTGAATTTACCACGAGATATGAGCAGCAGGTCCTCGACCTGCAGAACAGCCGGTGAAAATTCCCTTCAACCCCATTTCCATCCGAGCCACAACTGGGAATATCCTGCTGCAAACCCAATTAACAGTCCCCGACATCCCATGCCGGGTGATGCTCTCACATTGCCACCCCCTCTTCCTTCCACAACACCAAACAGGGACAAAATGAATCCCGGCGCCCGCTGCGGCTCAGCCCTGCCAGCACCTCCCGCGGTCCCTGTGCCAGCAGCTGCCACTATGGGATAACCCTCTGCATCGCGGCGCGGGCTGATGCTCTGCTCAACCCCACAGCTTGCAGGCTGAGCCAAAGGAGACAAAAAAAAAAAAAAAAAAAAAAAGAAAGAAATGAGAGAGGAGATGCTGACTGTCCTCCTGAAACCAGAGTCGTGCTTCCCTGCAAGAACACACGTGGTCCCTCCCCACACGTGGCTGTTTGGCTTGACCTTCAAAAAGACAAGTGAGAAAACAGCTTTAAATAACTTCCCATTCACATCAGCGGGCGCTGAGCTTCACCCAGTCCTAAATTGTTCTTGCTCTGCTTTATCTCTACACGCTTGAAAGCCAAAGAGCTCTGCTTGAGGAATCCAATGAGGGAGAAAGGGGAGGAAAAAAGAAATTCTGGTGTCGTAGCTCAGCTCACAAAAGTTCCTTGCAGCACCTCTACCTGAACAAAGACAAAACCTGGGGCTCAGAGCCGTGAAATTCCAATTGTACAAGCAAAGCAGAAAACACATTATTTCCAGCCGCCCTGAAAATCAACAGCTATTAATTTTCTCAGCAAAGAAACCAAACAAGCCTTATAATCCCAAGCCTCATGAAAAACCTGAACGTGATTGTTGCAGTGGGGTAATGCAATCCTCACAGACCTTATTGATTGGAACAGAAATGGAGAAGAAACAGAGTCTCGGCGAGAGAATTTCTAAAACAACATCCATTTCTCCAGCTGCCAGAGAGCGAGCTGGGGCACGCCTTCTCTCCCCAGTCTCGTTGACTGCTGTAACCTTGCTGCATCCATTAATATGCCAGTTTTCAATATGCAAACCCAGTAAAACCTGCAAAGCTTAGGACCAGTTGGCCCTGTGAAAGCACAGCGTCTGCAGCCAGCCAGCTCTGCCATTTCTGTGGATGTTTTACAAAACGAAACGCAGTTTCAAATCTATTTGCTGCTTTGGAAAAAATAAACACACCACTGGTTGGCTTCAGAGACAAACACAAGATTTGTGATCAGAACCAATTGTCAGACACGGCGTCCAGCGAGAAACAATTATGTTTGCATTGCCCCGAGGAAGATTGCGTGAGCAGAGCCAGCAGCCCCAGCATGTCAGCTCCCATCGCAGGGGCAGAGCCCGACCGTCACCACGCGTTAACCAGTCCCCCGAGAGCTGCACAAAGACCAGACCAGCTCCTGGCCCCATCGCACCCGCATCTTTAGCACCCTGCAAACGCACAAGCCTGCTTGCTCTCCTGCCTGCTAGCTCAACACTCCATTTAGATGCACTGAACAGAGCCGGGAGCTGCTATTCTGCACCTGCTTGTTCGTACGCTGTGCTGCTGGGCTGTATGGGAACGATCCGAAGCCCTGGTACAGCACCATCGGCCACCGTGCCCCACTGCACCCGCCTGCAGCACGCCTTCCCTGCACGGACATCTGCTGCAATAGCAGGAATCCAAACACCGACATGGGGGAGAAGGAATTTTGGGCATCCTTATCCAAACCTGACACTCTCTTCCCAGCCATGTCTTCTAGTTTTACTCAGGTTTGTTTTCTTACCACTGAGGATTTATTTTTTTAAATACAGTCTCTGTATATTGTTATCTATAATGATGCTCTCAGGTCTGTATACCCAAGAAACAAACACAACCTTGCACGATAAGCTGAACAGGACCCAGCTTTGTGCCCGGGCAGTAAACCCAGCTGACAGCATCCTGGGCTGGACAGACAGAAGCACACCCAGCAGACAGACAGACATGATTCCCCCCCCTCTACCCAACACCCCCTAGACAGCACCTCAAATACCGTACCCAGTTTCAAACCCCACAGCATAAGAAAAACATTGATAAAATGGAGCGAGCTCAGCAGAGGAGCATCACGGCTGGCGGGGGGCTGCAGCACCCATCCTCTGATGACAGGCTGCCCAGAGCGGTTGTGCACTCTCTGTCCTTGGAGTTCTTCAAGCACAGGCTGCATGAAGATGGGTAAGGTGAGTAATCCACTTCTACCTCATACCTGACCCTGCTTTCAGTGGGAGGTTTGATGAGGTGACCTCTGCGGTCCCTTCCAGCTGGAATTACCGCATGCAGGTCTGTCTAGCCTTGCACGCTGCTTCCAGCAGTGACCGGTACTGAACGCAAAGAGCACGCAGTCCCCCCCAACCTCTGGCAAGCATCAGTTTAGACACTTGGTGAGCAAAGATTACAGCATTGTGTTGAACCAGCCAGCTCGCCATGAATTTTTAATACTTTGGCCTCCACAACTCCTTCAGCGCTACAACACCGAAAGCAAACAGGTGCTACAAAGTGCATCAGCACCAAAATGAGGAACAACCCCATGACCCCACGTCTCCTCTGCTGCATCTGCTCTCCACTGAACGCTCACTCCCTCTCTGCAGCTCGAGAGCAGGGAACCACATAAACGTGGCCCTTAGAGCTCACCGCCCCTCCCTGCTAAGCAGCTTCCACTTGTACAAGGCAACGGCTCCGTAACCATCTCCCCATCGCTCAGAGGACCGGCGAGATCAAGGCTGAATTGCTCTTACTTTTGTATTCCAGGTGAAAGCCGGCGGCAGAGACGCTGATATCCGAATAGAAATGCAGATAGAGCTGGTTTGAAGTGCTGTTCAGCAGCGCAGGCACTGTCGTTCCTGGGAAAACAAGAGGTGCACAAAGATACTGAAGAGGATCCTTTTTTCCTCCTCTGCGTCCTCCGAGACCGGCTGCAGAAGAGGCTGCGAGCAGAAAGTCCTTTAACTTAACAAGCTGTGCTGGTTTTGATCAGGTTCTAATGAGGCCAATTGAGAGATACCCAAGGCCTCCCCGCAACGGCCTTTTCAAACTCTACTGATGAATTCCAGCACGGGAAGTTTCACCACTTGCAGACTAGAGAGGCTGAAAGCATCCAGAAGGGAAGGGGTGATGAGAAACAGCGTGGGTGGAGCGCAGGTCCCCCGCAAGCTCCGCGTTCCTCCTTCTCCCGCCTCACTCCCTGGAAGCTGCTGCAGCACCAGGTCAAGGCAGCTCTATCCCAAATGCAGGATACGGGTCTTTATGGACCTTTCTCCTTACCAACCTGAAAGCGCTCTGAACGCAGTTGTTCATTAAATAAGCAAGAACCAGACCATTGGTTTGCAAGCAGCTCTGCTATTCAAAAGCTTTACGCTGCTTTTGGGCTGCTTGCTCCTCCCTGCTCTGCAAAAAGCCACAGTCCCCGCTGCCGAGCAGAAGGAACGCTGTTTTTGTGGCCCTTCATCCATTTTGGTGCGAATCAGGCAGGTCAGGTGAACCTGCCAAGGGCAGCGGTCTGAGCTAACCCCACGCAGCCCAGCGGCGCCGCGGGAACTCCCGCTTCCAGGCTGCGGAAGCGCTCACGGATTTCTGCAAAAAACTCAAACCTAACCCACCGGTCTTATGTTTAAAGCTCCCCATCAACGTTTTCTGCAGGAAGACAGGAGTCAAATTCACAACTCAACAAAGCATATGATTCCCTTTAAGCACACACTTAACTCTGTTCCGAGTTTTTGGAGCATTTTGGCGTATGCTTGGTTCTATGGACGCGCAGAAGCCCAGCTGATGCGAGCAGGAATCAGGCATGCACCGACGGGCTTCACCGAACACGCTGCTGAACACATACCCGAGAAACTGCCCAGCATGGTGGCTGTGTTATCTCCTCCATCAAACACTTCCAGGGAATCCCAGTTCTGCTCAGTAACAAAACTGATCACCTGGATCTGAGGAGAAAAAAGAAAAACGGTAAGGGTGCAACTCCAGCAATAATGCAAATAAACCAAACAATAGCAATGAAAGGGACGCGAATAAAGTCAGCAACGCGTCCCAGGGCTGTAAGTCCGCGCCACTATTTATCTGTGCCAGTGCAGTGGCAGACCTTGGAGACCCATTGCCTTTGACTACCACCATTTGGGTTCAACAGCTATTTTCCAGCAAACTCCACACTCCAGGCTTGCCTATCAGGGGAGCTGTCTTCTGCAGCTAGAAAGGGAGAGCTCCTGTAATTTCCCAGCTAATTTACAGCGGCTGAGAATCTGAGCCTTTTTTTCCTGTTTTGAGAAATCCCTGAAGACTTTTGCAACTCTTTCATATGAAAGCAATCACTAGCAACCCAAGAGCTAAAATAAAAACAGAGAAACCTGCATTAAACCGCAAGATTTTTTAATCCAATGTGGTTTCTGCAACTGCCTGCTTTCTCACCTTTTAGTCCAATCACTCAAGTTGCATTTTCAAATTTCCCCCCTTTCTCTCCATGCCCCTTACGGTCTGGAGGCTTAAGGACATCACTTGACTCCATTAGTCAGAACTTCAATGCAATCCTCCAACGAGGAACATTGTGAGATCTGAACAATCTGCATTTGCACTGAAAAGCAGCTCTTACACTTGAACAAAGATCTCCATGTCGTTGCACAGATTTGTCTTCCTTGATTACCATTAAAATAGATTCTGCCTTTACTCCTAAATACTGAGAGCTTGAAGTATTCAGAGTCCCATTAAGAGAAAGGAGCTGAGCTGTACATCAAGCGCTGAACAGCCCCAGAGAGTCAGGGAGCAACCCTGAGAGCAAGCCAACCGCATTCAGAACAAACCAGCTTTCATCCGTAAGCTCTAGGTGCAATTTTCAAACACCAGGCACCTCAAATTAAACTTCTGGGCCAACAACCTGATTAAAAAGGACCCTTGAAGACCAATCAGGAGCAGAAATGACTTGCACAACTTGGCCCCAGGCAAAAGGCTTCACCTCTGGGTGTGCGGCAGAAGCTGTTGCCCGGCACCAGCGCCGGCGGGTCTGGGGAGCAGCTGGGATGCAGAACCCAGGCACGCTGCCCCCACACCTCTGCTTCTGGGGAGCCTCAGCTCTCTGAGGTCTCTTAGGATGAAGAGTTTCTACTAAGCGTGACGCTCCTGATCTGCAGCCACCCTGCTGAATTGAACGGCATCACTCGCTCCGGCACAGAGCTCAGCAGGACACGGCCACTGGATGCTCCGAAGGTTCTTCAGTGCCTGCAAACCCTGGCTGCTTGCACACGTGTGCACGTGCACATACGCTCCCCCCTTCCCTCTGGAAATCCTGTGGAGCTCCCCTCCCTTCTGTCCTGCAGCATTCCTAGTCTGTATTAACTCATCCACTCCAAACATCTCACTTGCCTTTGCCCTGCTAAACAGAAAACACACACACACACTTTAAAAAAAAAAAAAAATTAAAAAAAATCAACCCCCATTATTTCTGCCATTTTAACCTTTTTCCTCCTTGATTTATTCTGAATAATAAAGCAGGCTATAAAGTTCCTGCAAAGTTGTTTTTTTTTTTTTTCTTCAAAAAAATAAGTGGAGTTCATCCAGCAGAAATGGCAGTGACCCCTGCAGAGCCGTTCCTGCTCACCCTGACCAAGTCAGTCCCTTTCAGCCTGCATCACTACATCCCGACTGTGATTTATGTAATTGAAAGAGAACGTGGATTAAGAATGTGCATTTTGTTTGCTCTTACATTTCCTGAATTATTTATTCTCCTCGCCCCCCAACTTAACGGAATAAACATTTTTAAGGTCCTAATTCTAGTCTGACATGTGGATTCACAAGGGATGTGCATCTATTTACTGCCATGTATATAAATTAATTCACTGAGGAAGGTTTGCTACAGGAATGAATAATTCATGGCAGAAGTGCCAGCTCGTACACTGATTACATTAAAATCCTGCTAGTGACTCGCCGCTACCAAGAAAGCTTTAATTTCACCTCCTCCTCTGATTTACAGTTCTTTAACCTTTAATTGTTGTACAAAGTGAGGGTAAACTGATGCTTAAATTAGTATCTAATAACGGAGAACATCTCGCACACAAAAGCCAGTGATGGGGAAGGGGATGGGAGTGGGGCCGGGCACGCAGCCGCGGGGTGGGAGCGCAGGGGTCCAGCTCCGTGCCCAGGGCTGCCCCCAGCCGACAGCTCTTCCCTGCGCCTGTTTTATTTCCTGGGGTTCAATACTTGTCACCGTGCCTTCTTCCCCCACAGAAGGCTCCCAGTGCAAGCCCCAGCATCTCAAGCTGATGCAATCCAGGTGACATTGAGAGATGTCATCCCACGACTGGTCCGTGTCCCTCAGCACAGCGATGGCACCGTGTCCCCCCCGCAGCCCGGCACAGCTGGAAGCAGAGACCCCACCAGCACCGGTACGAGTCCATGTGGACTCTGGCTGAGCACCAGCGGAAGGCGTCTCACTGAAGGACCACGGTCCTGCCTTCCACCAAAAACCTCCCGCTCCAGACCTAGAAACCGATCTTAGGTCTCTGGCGGTGTCAGAGCTCAGGCGCAGGACACACCTCTTTGCTTGCATCATGTTAGAACCTAAAATATCCATCTCCCCTGGGAGAGAGTGCATCCAGCAAGGAAGGGGTAAAAAAACCCAAAACAACCAAAAAACCCAAAACACTTTGTCGTCAGGTTTTCTAGTGAGAGCTGCGCTTGCACAACCAAAGAGGTGAGAAACAAACACGTGTGAATACAGAAACCCTTTTAACAGCCCGCTGTAATATTCCCTTTCCTCCAAGCTTAGCAAATGTGCAAAAACAGCCCCACGGGCTGGGAAGTGGCAGCAAGGGTTGGCGTTCAGAACACGGCAGTGCAGGATACAGACATCTATTTACATCACTTAAGTGCATTACCACCTCCCGGTCCCAGGAGTCCCTGCAAACCGCCTCAAACTGTTCAGACGGTTGGCCGAGCTCAATGGATCCTCCTGCCGTTTGGGGGTTTTGAGAATGGCTAAAGTTTCAGATGAACAGGAAGTAATCGATGGTGAGCTCTGAGGCTTTGCAAACACTACTTTAAATGGTTCCAAAAGCAAAGAGCGGAGTGGAACTTGCTGGGCAGGACAGGCAGAGGGCTCAAAATATTCCTCCAGGCTTGTGCTTTGCTGTGAAGCCCCCAGTGCTGCTCCCACCAGCTCCGCCACCCCAGAGCCAGGTTCAGGTTTTGGTTTGAGTGATGATGGTGGCACCAGGGGGGAATCCCTGTCTGGGGACTGCAACCCAGCAAGGCAGAGCTGATGCTTCAATAAAACTGCTGAGAGGAACCGCTGCGTGCCAACAGCGGCCAACCCTGCAGAGAGGGAGAAACCCACCCACAATCCATCAGCCAAACACACGATGGAGAAATAAAAGCAGTTAATGAACAAAACCCTCGCAGACAAAGTCATGTAAAGAAGAAAGAAACCCTCTGACAATGAAGTCTGGGGAATGAATGAACCTGCTCAAGGATCCATCTCCCGCGCGTGAACCGATGTCAGCGTAACGCACGGCACACCTGTGCTGAATGGGAACTTTATCTAAGGTTTGGTCTCTGATGTTGGGCTTAATTCTCAACATCCTCTAGCTTGCAGGACTATTTCTGCAGAGGAATGATAAGGGCCACAAAAAGACCTGAAGAGAAAGCTCATTTACCTGCAGACAATGAACAGCAAAGCTGTAGTTGTACAATCACACCGCTGCAACTCTGCTGGCGTAACAGATCCATGCAGGTACTCCAGCAGAGCAACTCTTCCTTGGTGCAGCTTACATTGCTTTCAACATCCCATAACTAAGCCGTATGAAGATATATGCCTAAAACACCACCGTTATTTTCTTACACCAAAACAGCCACATAGCTCCAGCTGATCTCCCACGGAGAGTGCCCTCCAGGAGGCAAGAATCCATGGCCATATTACCCATTTCTGGCAGCCACAGTGTAAATGAATGGCTGATTCCAGAGCATCAACACATCCAACCCATCCTTCCCGTGAGCAGCCACAACTCCACAACCCGTGGCCTCTCTAAGTGCACCGGACACCGTGTGTCCTCCTCTCCAGCTCACGCTGCAGCCCCAGCTGCCGGCGCGGTACCTGGATCCCGGCTCCTTCGGGGACCGTTATCTTCCAGACGCAGTTGAGGCTGTTCAGGTACGGCTCCGGGAAGCCGGGGGACAGGATGGTTCCTTTGCGTTCAGTCAGGTTCCCACCACACGGCACTGCAATAAGCAAAGTGATGCTTGGACACCGAAGGACTTGGCTTTACACTCAAACATTCTCTTTAAAACATCTGCCCAAGGACAAAAAAGCAAATGGAATTGGCTCACGATTTAAGAGTCAGATTCGTATGAATAATCCTCTTTTCAGCAACTCTTCCATAATTTCTAACACAAGCGGCACACAGCCCTTAGGTACAGCAGCCATCAGACTGGTTCTTTCGGAGCTGCTCTCCTCCAAAGGAGGTGAAAATCAGACAGAGCTGATTTATTCCAGATGCTGTCCCAGCTCCCACAACCAAGTATTGGATCAAAAGGTCCCTTCCCTGACACGTGGGGTTAATTGCCCTCGTTCACAGGCAGGCTTGGCTTTGGTATGTACCTGATATGAAACAGATTTTTTGTTTTGTTGCTATTTTGTTTTTCTCTTCTTGGTCATCAGCTGCTTTTTTTTTTTTTTAAACCATCCCAAAGGATGCAATTTATTTTTCTAGCACAAATGGCTGAACTGCTTTGTCTTTTTATCCCCCCAAACCCAAAAGGCACCTACCCACGCAGGTGGGCACCGAAACATTCCACTGTGCCAGCGCCCCGGGCATGGTGAGGCACTCGATGGTGCGCGAGCCCTGCAGCGCGTACCCGGCGCTGCACTCGAACCGCACCACGGCCCCCACCGCAAAGTCGCTGCCCAGCCGCCGCCCGTAGCGGGGCTCCGGGACCGAGCTGCACTGGGTGGCACTGGTCCGAGGAACCGCTTGCGTCGCAGCCAGAAGAAACCAGCAGGTGAGCGTGCAATTGCAAAAGGAAAAATAAAACAAACGAAAAAAATGGTTAGAGCAAACATTTTGGAAGTAGTAACTGTCAAATTAAAAACCAACACAGGAATGGGATTGTACCCAAGAGCGGCTGAATCCAAACACGACCATTGAAAAGAAAAAGAACTAACATTTCATTCAAACTTTTGTCAATACAAATAATACCTGAAATAAAAGCAGCTAGGACATCACAGAACCACGCATGCTTTCAGAAAACTTATCACCACATCGGAAAGGTCATTTCCAAATGGGGAAACCCAGGGACTCAGCAGGGACTTCCCAAAAAGCTGGTGTGCCATACGATGCTAGAGCCTCAGCAGAAAACCCTTGAGGTTTCCCAGCTCTCTTGGCCTCGTTACCATGAACCTTAAGCAGTCTTCTCCGTGATGGGACGGGGAAGAGAAAGAAAAGGGGAATTTAAGTTGTGATGCTGCATCGCCAGCTGTTGAAATCACCTGCGTTCCTGTTCACTACTGGAAACAACAGAGAACAAACGGAGAGTCTGATGGATAAGTGAGGGGAAGAACAAGTCAGAAGTGTCTATTGCTGGGAAGAAATAAATTCATGTTTTTCTGTAAGCTGCTTTAAAATTTATTAGTGTTTAACGTCCCACTTGCTAGGAGGGGATGAATGTGGAGATGACGAGCACATTACCTATATTGTTTGATTTTAACTTGATTCAAAGAGATGAACACCAGACCCGCGGTCAAAGGCATCACACCCCAGCTGATCAGCACGAGGGGGAAGCCCGAAATGTGCCAGTGGTCTGGGGAGGGCAGGAAGGATCCAGCTGGGAGGATGCCCTACTTTGGGCACATCTAAGATAGCCAAAATACTCGCGGATCTGAACTACGGTTGTTTCACAATAACTAGGCAGAAATTCAGGAGAAGGAATCTCTGGATACTAGACAATGCAAACCACGCCTCCCTTCGCCCCCGGAGAAGGCACAGGTTGCTGCTGCCTGTCCCCACTCCACAGCTGGTGAAAGCCTGGCGGAACCACAGGCAACTCCACAAAGCACGTGGGTGGGAAAGCTCTTCTGTTTTCCCACTACTCTGTGCATCACTTTCTATTTACCGCTTTCAAAACCTCTAAGTGGGACTCGCCCGATGCAACGCAAGCTGTTACTGAAAGGAGCAAGGGGCCAAAGTTTGACAGCAGGAGACCTAAGCCTGTGACACACCGAGAGGAAGGATTTCACCGAGCTGCCAGACGAGTGTTCAGCTGTTTACACCGAGAAATGTGCTGAAATGTCAGCGGGGAAAACGGCTTGGGTAGAAATCTCAAGAACTCGCTGGGTACCCAGGGCACGATTCAATGAGATACCTCTGATGCTCATCCCGGGACGTGCGAGGGTGGAGGCTGAGGGAAAATGGAAAGTCTGAATACGAAGTACCTACAGGAGCCAGACAGCCCTGCAAGATCACTGCTACCAAAATCATCTTCATCTCCTGGGACATCTCCTGTTTGGACAGAAAGTGCGCAAGGACCCGCCGACACCAAAAGCAGCTCAGGACACTTCAAGACGTGGCTGGATTGTGACCATCATCTCAGGACACCTCCAGAACACAACGGTACTCACCTTGGTAGACAAAATGAAAACCTTTGGCTGTAGATTGACCCTTGGAACTAAATTTGATGAGAATCTGGTTGGTGGTAGCCAACGGTAATGATTCACCTAGATGAGGAGAAAGAGATGAAATAGCACAGACAGATTCCAGCACCGGCTGCACCGATGGGCTGCACAGAGCAAGGCGCTGCACGGCAGGCTGGATGGGCAGCTCGCTCTTCCCAGCAAGGACACAGTCCCTACCTGTATGAGAGCCCGAGAGCGAGCTGAGGAGCCGGGAGTGCTGGTTGGGGCCATCGTGGACTTCGATGATGTCGTTGAGCGCGGTCTGGAAGAAGGCGAACTGCCCGAAGACCACTGCGGAGAGAGGGAGGGCGGTGGGTCGGGGCGGGCGGTGGGACCAGCCGTGCTGCCGGCCCCGCAGCATCTCAGCTGCTTTTATTGCAGGCAAAGACGAGAAGGGCCTGAGTGACAGCCCTGGAAGAGGGGAGCCCTTTATTTATCCACAAAGCAGGCATAACAGAAGCAGCAACCAGCCTCCCCCATGTTCACCTGCCAGTACGCTTTAACACTGATTCAGAGGCCAAGAGGGATTCTTTTCTGAATCATCCCATTTGCCTGCCTACATAACACAAGGTATATAATTTCACCAACCGATAATTATTATTTATTATTTGCATTAAAACCTCTGTCATGAAGCAGGCTCCTGTTGGGTCAGGCATTGTGCAAAACCCGAACAAAATAACAATCCCTGCTCTGAAGAACTTAATTTCTAGCTGGAACCTCTCTGGTCAAGGAGGACCGCTGGTAGGGAGGGAGGACACTCGCTGTTTCATTAACAGTCAGTCCTAAGCCTGTCTGCAGAGCCTGGAGCCACGCAACACTCTGGGTCTCACTGCATCCATCGTCAACGCACCCAGGAGCTGGCAGAGCTTATAAAAGCGGGGAAAATAATAAAGGGAAGATCAAAGTGATTTTTTAGCTACAAAGATTTCAGTTATTTACCTTTGCTTTTCAGAATATAACAAGTTTTTTTCTCTAAAATCTGTACGTAGAAGATTTTTTCCTCCCCTTTGTTTCCTCTCCTAGGTTTGCACTTTCAAGTGCCCAGTTGCAGATTCACAAGCTGAGAGGTCTCTCGCTGTGAAATTCATCATCCCCCCCAGCTACACCATTTGTTTCCTGCACGTTCCGGTTTCCAGCACAGCTTTGATGCTGGGAACACTGAGCAAGTGACGACAGCACAGCCTGATGCCTGAGAAGCGAAGGAGACGGGAAACGCCTAACATTCGCTACTAATGGTTTTCCTGCTCGGTTTTAATGAAGCTATTGAAAGGTAGCAGGTGGAGGAGAGAAACTAATTTAGCTGTCATCCCACCGCAGGCAAAAGTCAGACTTGCAGATCAGACTGTCTAGCCCTCTAGTTATTGTGTTTCTGCAGACAATTTCCAGCTCGGCGCTAGTAAAACAGGTTAAGAGGTGTAAGAGCAGCGCCGCGTTTCATCAGCGAGATCCAGGGACTCGGATGTAACCTACACGCACGCAGGCAGAAGGGCAATTCGAGCGAAAGGAGCTCAGAGCTGACGTCTACACCAGGTATCCGTATTTCACACCTCGCTATCCTAGCGGAGGAAATCACAAACGGCTGAAAAGACCATAGGGACCAACGAGATCGATACGATGCGCTGAGCAGCCGTATCCAACACCAGAATTGACAGACCTTCACCTGCCAGAGCTGTCAGCGCAAGTGCTCTTGAAGAACTTTAAATTCCCTTCAAACAAGAAAATATGTTAACCAGCACCAGGATCCAGCCAGCTGCCTCAAAGGCTTCTAGAGCATCCATCATTCTCGCATTCAAGCTCCGACCAAAACCAAGCAGCGCTGGAGTCTATAAAAAGAACGCTGCTCCGTTTAAATGGATCTGGCTCTTGTTTGGATCTAGTTCTAAAATTTCATTTACATGTTACTTAAAAACAAAGATTACTCACGAGCACCATAGCTGCACATCCACAAAACTACACATCCATGTGCCTCTCTGCGCAGACAGATTATTCAGCAGCACAGTTAGCACGTGTTTACGGTAAATACACCTTGTACTCTCGGAGGTCCTCTGAGTCTGCTGCTGGCATTAATCACTATGAATTTTATTTTTGCTGATTTTTCAACTCTGCATGACTGGATATAGTGCAGGGAGCCACAAGATGGTGGTTTTTGTTAGGTTTGGGTTTTTTTTTTTTTTCTTGTCCCCTCATTTTTCACAGATTTTGAAATTCAGAAAATTGCCGTCATCCCTCCTGACTACAACAAAGTATAAATAGCATCCAACAGTGCCGCTGACTATCTTCCACTCTCCCTTATCTCCCTTTATATATGCATTTATTCTGCTGCTTTGTTCTAAGAAAAAAAACCAAACCAGAGAGTTGCACAGCCAGGAGAAGAGATTTTCAGGTGTTTGAGAATCTGTCCAAAACCAATACCATAGTCCTTGGGCACAACGATGGAGTACAAGCAGACTTGTCCGCTGGTGTAGTTCTGGGGGTAGTTGGGAGAGAGGACGACGCCGTCCGAGCCCGTGTACTGACCGCCACAGGGTGCTGGAAGAGAAGGGCAAGAAGAGATCACTGAATTCCCCCTTACCAAACCTGCCTTAAAATATCAGCTTTTTATTCTGCTGCTTTGAGATCCGTCCTGCCCACACGCTGCAATCCTGGGCAACGGCAGCTGCCCCCAGCCACGATCGATTCTACGCTCCAGGCACTGCAGCGCTCGCTGCAAGTTCTTATTACGAAAAATAAGCCTCATCCTAACCCGGGCTCATGCCTGCTTCACATTCAATTATCAAGACCGCGCCAAGGCTCCGGGATGCCGTGGGTGGTGGTGTAGCGGTGATGTGCGCTGCTCTCCACCCGACCTGACAGCTCAGCACCCGGCAGAATGCGCTCCCACTCTTTTCGCCCTTTCTCAGCGGCAGGAGCCCGGCTCCAGCAGGAACAGCATCCTCCCCACCAGCGCCTTTCCGAGCCGGTGATTTCCTTCTTCCAGCCACCGCAGACTGACGGCTATCCCTCGGCTTGCTTCTCAGATTAAGGTCTGACTGCAAACCCCTCATTTAAACCTTTTTCTCAAAAGGTTTCACAAAACAAAAAATACCCACAGAACCCCTACCACCAGCTTCTGTTTTCTCAATAAACTCTGATTGCTCAGGGAAGCACACGCTTAAGGGCTTTGATTAGTGGGGACCAGGTTAAGCAGATGTTTAAGTGGCTTCCCGAATCCTGCCCTGCACTAGGGACACAGGGTTTGTCACCCACATTATCTCTTGTGTCCAGTTTTCTGCCTCTCTCAAAAGAAGGTTCAAGAAACCTCATATGGGTCAGTTCTTCCTGACCTCTGGGAGTTAAAAAATTTGAAAAATTATGAAGCACGGAGAAAAACCCTCTCTCTCCCCCCGCAAGAAGCTCTGTGCAAAAAATAACACCAAGCTTTTCACAAGGATAAACCGCTGAAGGGTTTGGCCATGGGCAGGTCTTTCCCTGCTCGCCCTTGGGTCTTACCTGTACAGGTGGGTCGAGGTTTGTTCCACGTGGGTTTCCCATCCCCTCCCATGACGCAGGTCAGCGTGGAGACCCCCTCAATGTCATAACCCCCGTCACAGTAGTAGGTGATCGTGGATCCCAGCTTCAGATCCGTGCCCACTCGGGTACCGTTCTTAATGGATCCGGGATCGAAGCACGACTCTCGGGGGTTTTCTGCGAGAGAAAATTGCCAACATCTTTACTGGGCTGATAGAGCTACTCTAAAATTTCGGTTTCTTGGCTTTTCCCATCTGGGAATCCCACTTAAGTACATCACAAAGACCAGCACCGTTTGCAGAGCTTCGATTTCAAGCATTCTCTCATGCTGCTGAATCTGGGGAATGATATGGGTCAGATCCTGATCCGGACTATTCTCTGATGCTCTGCTCCAGCACCAGGATATTGGAAGAAGGAAGGCTTCAGTTCACAAACACTTTCACTGGTACCCAAAATCCAATCAACGAGGCAAAGCTTTAACTATTTACACTCACTTTCCTTTCTTGCACAGGGGACAGGCTGCAAAGAACTTCGCAAACCAGGACGTATCAACACAGACTGAGCATGTAACATATTTCAGATGTGCCACAGCTGTTTGCACTATCCCGTTGACACCTATCACTCCCGTATCTAAGAGCTGTCAGCTCTCACCATGGAAATGCAGTGCCATGTGCTAGCTGGTTGACTCTCCAGATGTGCAGCATGGCTGCAATTATGGCAAAATGATTACAAGCAGTTAGACAAAATGAAGACATTTTTCTCTGTTCACTATGCCCTGCAGAGTTAAAAACCCCATTTACATATGAAAATTCCAGTAAAGACTACAGAGCTGTCAGGACTTGATATTTCTTTCCTTCTTCTTCTGAGGGCTTTTTTCTTTTTTTTTTTTTTTTTTGGGGGGGTTTTTTTTTTTTTTTTTTTTTTTTTTTTTTTTTCCTTTTTTTCCCCTCTGTGCAATATAATTAGAGCCTTTGATTAATCCTGCTCTTTTGTCATTTGGAAATTGCTCATTAAAGATGAGGGCTTTTCTGAGAGCAGTGGGTCTGTGAACAATTATAATGTGTTTAAGCATTAAATCACGAGCTTTCAGTATTTGGGGAAGGGGTGGAGGGAGAAATAGAAAACAGTAAAGCCCCCAGATCTTGCTTTTGTTTCTTCCTTTGCAGTGAAAAACAGGATTAGCTCTATGGTTTCCTTTACACCTGTACCACTAGCTGGTGATCCAGGCAAACAGGGCACACAAGGAGGGGAAATGTTTCCCCTGAACCCAGAACCGAGCCAGGGGACTGAAGATGAGCAGTGCAGCTGTGTGGTCCAGAGTCCACTGCAGCACACTAGCAAGTGCAAATGCTTCATCTACTTTTCCAAAATATTTTTTCACTCCACTAATATTCACTTTCAGACCCTTCCGTACAAAAGCTGCACCCAGGGCTTCCTTCTGGCCACTTGATGCCTCTCGTTATCCTGGATGGTCTCACTGCCTTTCATCTCCCGAGTGTGGCTCCAGCCTGGCCATCAGCCTCCCCCCCGCTGTCGGACGTCTCTGCCGCATCCTTGATCTCAGCCTCTGCTCCTGCTTTGAAAAACCACCACATCCAGCGCTCAAGTCACTGTCGACTGCTGGGAAAAGGCTGGTGGCTGATTGCTGAGCAACAGCCCCACTGCTTTTGTTGTGTTTTCCTCGTTCTTGCCTGTTTCTCTGTTCCCTACAGGGTCCGTGCCTCCAGGGACACTGCTCGCCATTGAGGACGATGCATCCTGACCCCCCAGTCCCAGGCGCATCTCCAGCCGAACGCTCCTCTGCAGGGGAGCTGCCCCGACGATCCCCAGCAGCAGGGTACAAAGGGAGGCAGGAGCTCAGCTTTAAGGATGGGTTTGCTCGCACGGTGACAGCAAAAGACTCGTGGAGGGATGTGGGAAAGCCACAGCTTCCCCAGCCTTTGATTTACGAGGCTGTGAAGTGAGGACAGCACGGCTTGCCCACTTGGAATTAACATTTGCTTTTCACTCAGCCACTTGAGAAATCAAGGACTTTGCCCTGCTGTCCCAATTAACATGGATTCAGGCTGCCAAATGTTTAGGAAAAGAGTCAAGACAAAAACGCCACGAGAGGCGGCTCATTAGCCCCCAGAAAGCAGAGATCTGCTGTGCTTCCCCTCTCCTTTCCCAAGGAAAACTCAAAGCCTGCACGAGCCCCTAGACCAGGAGCTCAGGCTTTCATCCGCGAGCCCGGCTGTCCACCCAGCACATCCCGAACGCCAGAAATCGTGCAGAAGACAGGTTTTCACAAAAGTCATTGAATACTGAAGACAAGACAAATTCCATCAGCATCCCCCAGCCCAGGGGCAGCCTGGGCATCCCGGTCTGCTGGGATCTGCCATGGCTCGCCAGGAGCCCGGCACGCTCCGACTCATCCCAGCGCCACGGACCACCCTTCCAAAGGACAGACCTGGTTTGCAAACACAAGTCGCTTTAGGGTCAAACGTCACCTCCCATTTCCGACCGTTTTAACAGCGAGCAGTCCTGGATGTTTTTAAACAGCTTCCCTTGCAATGGATTTTACAGAACAGTGTTTCTGTGGGGAATTTCCACCTTAAATAACCTGTAAGTAATGCTGAATACATGTTTATAAGCTCAGGCTGGGAAAAATGGTTCTGGCGAAATAATAACTGATTTGAAACAAGGCTTGGGGCTTGGGGTTTTTTTTTTTCCCGTTCCTTTGGAAGGGTGAAAAGTAATCAGTTTTGCTTCATTTGCTTTCAATTTCACGCCTCTTCACTTCTGGCCCACAACAGAAACAGAAAGTAATAAAAAGCGTGAGAAAACCTCCTGCTTTGGAGTGTCCAACCTGGAAACTCCTTCCTACCCTCTGCCCCAGGCACGAGGAGCCAAACCTGACGATGCACCTCGGGTCCCATGCAGCCCCAACCCAGCTGGATAAGCGGCTCAGATGGAGTCAGGGACTGATGGAGTCTGACCCGCTTCTGTCTCCATGGCAACAGGTCCCCAACACTCACAAAATATCATTGGGGGGGTGGGGAACAATTTGGGAAAAGCTCTCAAAGTGACGAGCCTGCCCTCTACATTACTAACCCAGGGCGGTCTCAATTGAAAAATACCCGAGTCCAAATGCGTAACATGTATCTTGGTAAAATCTGTGTGGTTTGTGAGATGCTGCAATGCCAACTGGTTATTGGAATCCAGCTGATTTCTCAATGAGAAAAGAAAACCTTCACTTGAGAGGTTCATCCCCAGCCAAATTTAAGAGAGTCTCTGTTAGCATTTTCTGGCAATGGCAGCCTCACGGCAGACCCTCATGCCAAGGGGTCGTATAAATTGACTGGAAACAGTTTGTGAAACTCACCCAGTCTTGCTCTGTAACCAGAAACCTCCCAAGTATAACCAAGACACACAAATGTTATCGTAGTTCAAACGATAACACATGTAGAGATACCGAGTTTAAAACCCTTCGTTTTCTGTAGCTGAGACACTTAAAAAAAATTCCTAAGCAACAACTGGCAAAAGAGATAAAATCTGGGTATATTGTGAGCCGTGGCTTTCCTGTGCTTAAGCTTTTGTTTTGTAATCGTCCTTCCTATTCTGTAATCAAGATCTTACCAACCTTTTGCTTTAGTAGATTAATAACTGCTGGGCTCAGGAACACAGCACACTGCCTTCACAGGAACGGCAGCGGTAACCAAGCTGCTGCTGCGAACGTGTAACACGAGGGGTTATAACTCCAACAGGATGCCTGGAGCAGAGCATCGCTTCGTCTTCGTGAACCAGCCCGAACCCAGCAGCTCCTCCCTACTGCGAAGTCATTCCGAAGAATAAACGCCTCCCCAGCTGAAATCCCAAACTCTTGCATTTAAGTTTCACCTGACCCCTGAACCAAGCCAAGGCAGCAAAGCAAACCAGACCTCTGGCAATCTCAGTGTGTCTGGGCAAAGCACACGCAGGGTTTCTTTGCTGGTAACCTTCGTTTGATTTTTCATTCTGCTGCGCAGCTGACGGTGCATCACGGGCGCAAAGCAAGGATGTGTGTTCATCTATCAGAAATCCTGCTGCTGTAGCACATACCCGTGCAGCTAACCCGGGAAACCGCCCGGCTGAGGATCTGCCCTCAAACACCCTTCTGCAGCATCACAGCCCTCCCGCTTCCCTGCCATGCAAAAAAACCCTGGCGTAATAAAAGTCAAATTTATTCTTCTCTCTCTGTTTTTCTCCATTCCTCCCAGCCCCAGAGGACAACTTTCTCTTGAAGAGCCATTGCCCCTGAAACCATTCCAAATGAAGTGCTGAGGCTGTTTGAAATTCACCCAACACACCGCCGCTGCAGGCGAGCCGTATGGTCCCAGTCCCAGCGAAGATGCAGGATTTCAAGGAGGGACTGACAGATGGCTGCTTTGCTTTTTTTTTTTTCCTCCCCTAAAACATTACCGAAAGAGGACTACGAAGCCCCTGGTAATTAACAGAACTTCGCACAGGGCTGACACAGGTGATGGATGGCGTTTAGGGGAGCCAGGGGCAAACACCTCCGGGGCTGCGGCACGGCCCAGGCACAGAGACGGTGTCTTTGAACTGTACTTGGGATTCCTCGCTGGCAAGGAGCCGAGCTCAGCATTTGATTTATTTTTTTTTTTTCCACACATGCTCCCTCCTGCATTTCTTTTCTTCTTCTTCCGATTCCCCAAAGTTCTATTTTCTGCTGCTTCTCAGACCTGAATCCCAGGTTCCTTTTAAAGTGTGGGGAAATTAATGAGCAAACTTAAATCCTCATTCTCCTCTCCCAGCAGTTTGGCTTTGTGGGAAGCATGTAGGCGTGATTAACACTGTAGGAGTGTTTAGCAGAAAAACGCATCACACAACCACCCTAATTTAATGAGATTTCATCTGTTAACTACTTTCTGGCTGCCCAAAAAGAAAAGGGAAAAGCAGAAAACCCAAAACTTACTCTTCACTAAAATTAATTCTAACGAGAGCAGGAAACGTTTAATCTCTCGCATCTTAAGCTGTGCTAATTGTCTTTGTCTTATTATTTCATAACAGAGGGAAACTCATCTGTTCAGCGTAACTCAGGGGAATTGCCGCTTCGCTATGATTTAACCTCTGGTCAGGTAAATTCAAAAACAGAACCACAGACCTTAGGGTGCAGGAAGAGAGAATTGCTCCAGCAGCCCTGAAATCACAGCAGCAGCCCATCAGCAGGAGCTATTACTGCTCCCACAGCACACGGTTGGGCCAACAAGGCTCAACAGCCCGTTTCGCAGCATACGCCGCGGATGCAAAGCCATGTTTCATAGTGGCACGCATCCAGTACATCTAAAGCCATCAATGCTTTTTTCCCATACTGTAAACTAGTTCCTAGAGGCCAGAGCAGGCTTCAAGAATTGTTTCTTTCTAGCCCTGTTTTTTTTTTTTTCCAGTTGTTAAACCTTGTCTCCATTCTGCACAATCCTGGCGCACCAGATCCAGCTTTCCAGGGCGTATTTTTTTTACTACAGTTTGTAACAACTCCATTCTTCCACCTGCCTGATGCACAAACAAGGAACACATTGCCAAGCCTGCCTTTTTCTCCCCGTCTCCCAGAACAGCAGTGCCAGGTCTGCCACTTCTCAGCTTCCTCCACTGACAGAGAGCTGAGAACACCCCGGGAAAGCTCTACCCACCGCCCCTGCCTCCCTCCGTCAGAGCTGCAGCGCCACACAACGTTCTACTGCCTCCTCAAGGAAGGGAAAAAAGCCACTGCTTTAATAACAGACACCCGTGAACTCACTAGTCTGTTCATTTTACTAATGATAGTTTTTAAGTAGATGCTTTAGAATCTTAAGTGAAGCAAAATGCAGATTTCAGGAGAGCTCCATTGACTCAAGAGACGGAGCATCCCCTCCCCTGGTCCCTGCCTCGAGATCCAGCCACCCATCCTTTGGTGATTCAGACCGAGATCCCATATTGGATATCTCTCTACCTCCTTTTCTTGGACAAAGCCGCTCTTGCCACCAAGACTAAATCTTAAATCCATGGCAATGCGGAGCATTCCCAATAACCAGCTAACAGCTCAGCACCCCCCAGGACTCTGCAAGCTCCAAGCTGCAATGAAGCAGCACATCCTGCTCACGGAAAAGATGGAACTATTTAAATTCATTGTGGAGCCAGAAAGATCACAAAGAATACAGCCTGGACAAAAATATATACTTTCCAGGAATTTCCCTGCCATTTTCTACAAAAAAAAAAAAAAAAAAAAAAGAAAAGTCAGCTGGACCAGGTGCCCCCCGGGCAGCTCTTACCTGTGTACTCAATGACAAACCCGGTGTTGCTGACCGATGCATCGCTTCGGAAGGCCAGGAACAGGCTGTTACTGCTGCTCTCTATCCTCTCAGGCAGCTGGGAGCCGTAAAAGCTTCCGATCAGGGGGCTGAGTGAATCGGGTCCATCGTAGATGTGGAGGAAATCGTAGCCAGGCTCCAGATTGAAGCTGCAAAGCCAAAGGGAAAGCGCTGGAAGGATGAGCACGCCACAGCATCCCTGGGGAACACAGACCGTGGTCTTCACTACCCAGGACTGCGAGCTGGTCCTGCCAGGCTTGGTCTGGTTCCTCCAGAGAGGAAAGGACCCACGCACAGACCCGGTTCAGCCAGGCACTGCCTGCCACTGGAGTCCCCTCCCTGTCCCCACGCCGAACCGAGGAGCTCTCGGGTACGTACGTGTTGAACACCAGGGCGATGACATAATCGGGGGAGACGGTCAGCTGCCAGTCGCACTCCTTCCCCGGCGGGTAGGGCTCCGGGTACTGCGGGGACAGGATCACTCCCGCCGGTCCCGTCAAGATACCTCCGCAGGGAGCTGAAGGCATCAAGCAAAGGGATGAGGCTTGGTCTTAGAGAAGCTTAAAAAACCATCGATGAGATGCAGGAAAGGAAAAAGCAAGCAATGGAGAGATAAGGGGACAGGGAGGCAGTTTGCAAGGCTGACCGATATGGAGATACGTATTACGAGAGCTTGTAGCGGCTCTCCCAGGGCTGAGGGCTCTATTATTCCAGAGAGGGCACACACAAACAGGAATGCAGCTCTGGATGCTGCTACAATCTTCCTAAGATATATACGGGACTCACTACAAGAGAGAGCTGCTTTATGCTTTTCTGTTGCATTTCTTTAGGCACCTCCTGGTACAAGTCTGGGTGGTTGCTAAATAAGTGAAAACATGTGGTCTGGGACTAATGGCTTCGTCGTGTTTATGACAGTCACCAACGCATTAAATGCCAAGCTGACTGAAAAATCAATTATTACTTTTTTAAGGCTGAAAGTGCCTTGCACATATTTCCATATTTCCCAGGATGTGGGAAATACTCAGGATTGATTTATTGCTGTCAGCCTTTTGCAGTCTCTCCACGAGGGTCGATGCTCTAAGGTTCCCCCCGTTGCTCAGATCAATCCTCCCAAACCTGGGATGGGGAGAGAGGGAGGGAAGAGCAGTCCGTGTTAAACACAAGTATCTGATGCTAACCAGCCTACACTGAGTAGGAAACGACCTGGCACGAGAGAGAACAAAACTTGGAAGGATCTTCAGCCAAGTCCCATTGCAGGCTACTGTCATCCCTCTCGAACAGACAAGGAAATCCCAGCACAGACTGGGGAGAGGTTAGCTGAAGGTCATGCACAAATAACCTGGAAGAACCACAAGCATCTCTTCTGTGTCCATTTACCTTCATCGTAACCTATCCAGCCTGTAAAGTCAGGGGAAAATTCCAAAGAAACTCCCGTACACAGACTCATTTTTGAAAAGCCTCAGGGAGATGACTGTTCAACACCCTCTGATTTCTTTGAAAATCCCACCCATAGTCTCTGAAGGATTTAAACTAGAAGCTGGTCCAAAGCACAGCTGTTTGGAGCTGGCTCAGGATACAGACTTCAAATACCCCAAACCTCTGGGGGCTGTTCCAGTTCAGCCCACATTGTTCAGGGACTGCAGAAGTTGTACAATAAAGACGTGAAAATCTATTTGAAATGCTAAATACAAACAAAACCCAAGCCCTAAATTAAACCCTGTTTTCCAATTCAGCCCTAACTAGGCAGCCTCTTAGTTACTGATATTACTGGCCACTGATTATTCCTCCAAATCCTCTGTCGCTGAAGAGGAGGGAAGGAGCAAGACATTGCTTTCAGCTTTTTCACAGAGCTTATGACTAGTAAAATAAGATTTCCAGCCTTCTGTTCAGAAAGGACCATTTCTCTGAAAGGAGAGCCCAGCTTCTGCTGTGAAAGAAAACTCAACATCAGAACGAGGAGACGGGCAGGACATGCAACAATATGATTAAGTTATAGCTCCACAAAGACTAAAAGGACTGTCTCTATCAGGCTGCAAGGGTGCCACGCTAGATCACCGAGACAGTCATTCAGAAACCAAGTCATCCTGCAGGGACCATAAATCCTGGGAGTGCTGTAGAAGTTTCCTGGCTGGAATTAAATCAGATGTTAGAAACAGAACTAATTGATTGTTCTTGCTTGGGATAACAGTGCATGAACAGGAATGAGGGTTACAGGTAAGTAATTTGTGGCTAGCATTTAATTGGCCAGCAAAATTGATGTTTATTGCTCTTATATGCTTAGCATGACTATTTTTATGTGTTCTGGACATACTAAAAAGAATCACTTTTATGAGCTTCTTTCATTGCTTTATGAGCTCAAGGAAAATGTCAGGTAGTTCTTTCTCGTGACAGAATTTGCTGTCTCCTCATGCAGAAATTACTCACCCACGACCCCAATCCTCTCTACCAACCTGAGTTTTAAAGAAGCCTTCAATCTTGACTTGTCAGGTTAAATATCATCACTTACATTGCAGTATGTCCTAGGAGCTTCCAGTGTGAACTAGATTCTCATCATCCCAGACACTCTGGGGATAAACCTAAAAAGCATTTCTATGAGACGGCTCCTCGAGACATGTACACCTTGTCATACAGCTCCTCCAACCAGGCGGGACTCAGCCCCTTCAGACACCGAAGCCTTGCAGTGAAACAGGGCAGGGACGCCAGTGCGATGGGAGGATGGAGGCGCGCTCGTACCTGTGCAGGAGGGAGGGTCTGGTTGCCAGAAAAACCTGTTCTCGATCTGCACGCAAGTGATTTTGGCCTCCCCTTGCAGCGCGTATCCTGGGTTACACTGGAAGATGATGGAGTCACCTGCCTCTCTGCTGTCACCGCTCCGGCTCCCGTTCTGGGGAACTCCTGGGTCATTGCAGGAAGTGGCTGTGGAAACTGAAGAGTTTAAAAATATATATATTTAATGCATATATTTATATTTAATACAGGTTTACAGCACTGGCTGTACTTAGACCCTGTCCTTCAACAGCTATCCAAGCAATGACTTCGTTCTCCATCAGGATCCCTTAAAGTTGCCACACAAATAAAAACTGGCTTGTACTTTGCACTGAGCATCTGCCACTCCAGCTGGTGAAGGCTCTGGGGAACGGCAAGTTCAAGTGCCCTACACAGAATGCAAGTTGGATGTGCAATTGTGCACATGCACATGTTCAGACATCCACTGATCTGACATGGCATTTTTATAGAATTCGGTGTCAGACACACGCTGCAAACCAAACGAATCTGCTCGCACTTTTCACTTCCCCCGAGAGGCAGAGCCATTTAGCCTTTAGTCCTGTGAAGCAGCAAGCCTGACCTTTCAGAAAGCCGTGTTTGCCTCCCAGTCTCGTTGCTGTGTCCCTCTGAGGTACAAGATGACCCCCTCAGCTCCTTCTTGGCTGGGGACAGCAGCACAGCCTCGCTGCTGGCTGGGCTCAAGCTCTGTCAACGCTACAACTACCCAACAGTCCTGGAGTAACAGCAGTTTTGCAAGCTTATATAGATGGTTAAAGTTCACAAGATCCCAAACTGTGTATTTCTGAGCTTAGGTCTGGCTACTTAGTCACACCTTGTGAACAAAGGCTTTGAGCAGAAGCATTCAATAAGGACCAGTGGAGCAGAGCTTACTTCTGCTAAGGTGATGAGAGTCTATGACACCCAGGCAGTTTAGAGAAAACACTTCTTTAAAAGAGCCAGAGGAAATCCCTCTCTCTCTTGCGTGCAACTGAAGATAAGCGCGTCAGCAGCCCGGTCTGTCCTTCCCGGGAGGCTGAGACACCAGCCTGGCAAAGGAAGAGGACGGCAGAGCTGTGCTGGGTGACACAAAGGTCTCCCCCTCTGTCTTGGTCATCCCAGGAGGTCTCGTATCCAGCACAAACTCTTCCCAAAGAGCTGGCTTGCTCTCCTGGCCATGCAAGACACCCTGAACAGAAAGCTACGGGCAAAAACCTGGGAAAGACAGAACAAGCTCTGATGCTTAGATGTGTCCGAGTCCCAGGAATGTTGTATCATCACTCACCCAGCAGCCTCCTGTCCACTGCCATCTCCAAACCAGGCATCTGCTGGCTGCTTACTGGGCAGGTCAGTGAGGCTCTGCATCCTGGAAACCTCTGTCTGAATACTGAAATACATTACCCTAATATAATAGATAATGAATGTGTTTGCAAGGCCAAGCCTTAGCTAACAGCAGCCAGGATTTAGGCAATGACAGATTGCAGCTGCGTTACCCGTAGTGCTGCTGCAAGCAACGACATCCCTGCAGCCGACAGAGCTTTTTGTGATCTGCATCTCAGGGGATCCAGTTGGAGGGATTTTAAATAGCCTCAGCTTCAGAGACCACTGACCAATTGCTCTCAGAACGCCGGGGGGGAGCTGCCTGCACCTGGTGTCTCTAAGGGATCTGTGGGAACGTGGGGAAAAAATATCTGTAATTCCATCTTGTGCATTCCACACGTGCTGCTCTGCATCGTGCTGCCCAGTTCACCACTGCGAAGGTGACCGTAGCAGGGGGAGCACAGAGAATTCACCTGCCCTGCAAGGACAAAGCCCAGGAGTTTCTCTATTTGCAGAGACTGCACCCAAACTCCGAAATGCAGCAGAGCACCAACGCCTGGCAGACGGCACAGGTCCGGCTATTGCGCTCCATCAGTCATTTGCTCCATCAGTACTTTGGAGCTAGACCTGAAATCGCTGAGCAGCAAAGCTGGGTGTGGATAACGCTGAGGAGCCCATGCCAAGCCTACCTGAAAACTGAACAGCAAAGCCCTGCTTGCTGGTGAAGAAATCGGTGTTGAACTGGAGGATGACAGAGTTGAACGTGCTGTGGACATCGCCGGGTAAGCCGGAGCCGCTCAGCTCTTTGAGGAGGATGCCGTTCTCCACCGGACCGTCCCAGATCCTCAGCACATCGTGGAACTCCTCGGTGTGGAACACCATGAAATGGAGCCTGGGCGGTAAAAGAACTGGAAGTCAGACCACAAACGGAGCTCTGCCTGTTTTCCTGGAAGATTGGAAACGTTCTTGGTACCAGCCTAAGGAACGTGTTCTCTCCGGTTATCTGCAACTCAGCTGGGACAAAGTACTGGAGCCCTCTACCAGGCTTTGTCTGTCTACAAAACCCAACATCTCCTAGTCACATCTCTCCCTAATAAAACCCATCCAGAAACAAAAACCAACCGAGTCGTGCGTACTAGTGTTTGCTGAAAAGTTGGGTCTTTTCTGGTGTTTTCTCCTGAGCAAACAAAGGTATTAATTTCTCCTAAAAATCTTGAGGAACAAGGTAAAGGTCCAAAAGCCCACTGTGGGCAATGGAAACGTCCCCACCCATAGCATCACAGTTGTTTTTACATCAAAGGTGCTCAACGAGGAGCTGTCACACAGCTCATTCAAGGACAGACAGGACACCTGGAGCAGAGAGGAACAGGGGCCGTGAGGAGAGGATGGGGTTGGGCTGTAGTTTCACTGAGCTCTGTAACAGATAAACACAGAAATATTGAGAAACTTATTCTAAAAAGAGAATTAGCAGAAAATGCGCTGGAGACCCTTCAGACAAATTACGTACATCCACCCTGTTCACACATTGTCCCCATGTTGCACACAGCAACAACCTTGGCTGTCCTTTTGCCTTTTTTTTTTTTTTGTGTCCTGTAAGGAAAGGCTTATTGTCGAGGGCCAGCATCTACTGATAAAATGCATTGATTTTTGTTACCTGCTTTCAGATCAAAGAATTTGCTCCTGGCACCAAGCTAATCCTGTGTATCAGGGGAAGAAAGGAAAAGGAAACAACCAACACCGCTCTTAATTAAAACAGCATCATGCTGGAAAATAAACCCTTGGCAGGGTGTTAATGAAACGGGGCAGAAAAGGGTGTGCGGGAGGGTGGCAGATTTGGGTGCAAATTCTGAATGCTGGATTGCAGCACCTCCCAGGGGAGAAGTGGCTGACACAGGAAAGGATTTTGACATGTTTTACAAGGTTTTGGATATTGCAAGACTGTCTCCAGATCAGCTAACAGAATAACTTCAGCAAGAAATAGATGGGAAAGTGAGGCAGGACGAGCCAGCTCCCCAAAATCCACGAGAGAAAGGGAAGGAGAGAAAACAGAAATGAAGCAACTGGCAGCTGGCAATGAAATCACACTGTGCTCCCAACGAGGTGTTTATAATGATGCTCTGAATGCAGATTTCATTTCCTCACTCTGTGTATTTTATAGTTCTGTCTGCCCTGGAGAAAGAGCTACGAGTCCATACGCAGCAAACACTCCCTAGTCCTGAACTGCCTCCAGCGGTGCCCTGGGACACGACAAACCTGGTCCCAGCCTCAGCTCCCGGTGGGACGCTCCTCTCCTCCCACCCTGTGCGGGGGGTATCACCCTGCACCTCCCACCAACCCAACCTCTGCTGTGGAAGGACAGGAAGCAGGTGAATCCAGGCTTTGCAAAGAGCTTTGGGATCTTCCAGGATCAGAAGTACCATCCACGTGTCACTGTTATTGTTACACCTCCCAAAGGCGTTACCAGCTCAGGGCTGTGGCACATCAGGGTTCAGTCCCTTCCACTATGCACTGAAAACGGCAACAGGAGAGAAGGAGTTAATCACCTCTGTGTCCCATTGCCACCTCACCCCTGGGGGAAACACCACTGACAAGGAACCCAGGGTAACGTGGGGGTAACTGGAGGCATGTGGTTCCAAAACAGGGACAGAAATCTGGAACTGTGCTGAGAAAATCTGCAAAAATAAACCAGACAGGTACCGGGCTTAAAACCGCGACAGCCCACGGAGGGAAACAAGGAAGCACTCGCTTGGCTGCTTTCCCGTTTATCCGGGGCAAACATAAATAAATCAGGTAGAACCATAAAAAGGAAAAAAAAAAAAACCCACCCACTGCAATGTACTCAGCAACAAAATGATGTCCACAGAATCCGACAGAAACCAAAAGAGCTGAATCATAAATTTACCTAGCAGAGACCTTGAGCAAAGAGGGGAAAAAAAGCTAAATTTGAGGAAAACAGGAATGGATCCCAGCAGAGCTGCTCTCCACCGGTGCACTGGCCTGATTCTGTCTGCTTTCAGGCTAACGGATTCTCCATAGCCAGAACTGCCAGAGAAAACTCATTGCTGAAGACCTCGGAAGCAGGGGGATGCTGCCAGAGCCTGACCTGGGACAGGGGGACGCTCTCAGAGCTCCTGATGCCCCCCAGATCGCTGCCACACACTCCTGAGCATCCCCTGCTCTCAGCTGCGCAAGCTCCATCCGTTCCCCAGCACACCCTCCCACTTCTTCTTCCTCCCAGAGTCCCACAGACAAGCCGAGTCATTTCAGTTGTGGTTTGATGTGTGTGTGCACGTGTGAACACACAAAATTAATCCTCTCTCAAAGTGCAGCCCTTTAACTTTCACGGCTACGATGTGCAGACTCCTTTTTCTTTCTCTCCTTCCCCTCATCCTGTGCAGACACAGCTTTGTTCAAAGCGCTTTGGTGATTAATTTTAATGTAAGTTATAAATGAGAGCTGCACACAATCGGACCGTGCGTGAAGAAGATTACTTTTCCAATGGATTACCATAAAAATGAAGTTGCTGGAAATGTGCTGTCAACTACCCAGAGATGATCTGTTCTGTTTGAGCTGCCAATAAAGGAACAGGAGGAGGGAGCTTTCATCTCTGATGAAAGGCAGGGTCACAGGTATGTTACCATACTACTGCCTGGCAGCATCTCATTGCAGTCTTGGCCCCTTCCAAGCCTCTGCCTGATCCTGCAAACCCAAGCCTACAGCTCTGCTCGTCCGAGTCCTCCTGCAGAAGCAGGCAGGGATTACGTCCGTGAGCTCCCTCGCTGGAGCAGCCTCTGCATGGGCAGAAGAGGGGATCTCATGCCTATGTTGTGTTATAAAAATCTCCAGAGTCTTCAATCTTTTCCAGGAGAATAAAAAAAAAAAAGAGACCACAAGTGGAGGTTGCCTGTGCAGGAATCAAGCTGCTGGCGGTGCTCACACCAGAAACCACCCGTCACTGACCCACGCTGAAGAGCAGAGCTAATGGAGGGAATTTCTGCATTAAGTGAAAATGAAAATACCGGACCACATCTACCTCCAGCATCAATCCGTTGACTAAAAGCACCACAGAGCTCAACATGATTAACAGTCTCTGCTGAAGAGATGATGAGTGCTGACGCAGCAAGGCAGCGACGGTGAGGAGCAAAGGGCACCGGCAAGGCAGGAGTGCCGGAGCGGGACGGCACGGAGCTGGGGCTGGCACACCAGCTAACGAGCACAAAAACTCATCACGGGAAATCACGGGAGAAAGGGTTATTGGTGAATAGACTTTACAATCTGCATTTCTCTCCCCTCAAGTCCCATCACTTAGAAAAAACTCCACCTGCCAACACAGTTCAGTTCTCTCTCGAAGCCCAGCCGGACTGAAAGGCGCAGGTCCGCACGCAGCGGTGCCGAACGGCCGGGCAGGGCTCAGGCAAACAGCAGCGGGGGAGCCGCGGTTAAGCGGCAGGGATGGCAGATGAAGTCTCAGAGAGCAGCAAACTGCCTGGACCCTGCTGGTGGCTGCACCAACTTTATGAGCCAAATGTTCTCGATCCCGCGCTTACCTAACTGCCAAATTCCCACAACTTCTAAACAAATTATGTTTCAGTCATTTTCCAACGGGAAAGTGGCAACAGAACAATAAGAAAAGTCGGAGGAGCAGGAGGAGAAAACAGCCCTGGGTCTCTGCACAGACCAGATGTTTAGAAACCATCCTCAGTCTTCTCCTTCGGGATGATAATGACATTTTATGTGTTCTATTTATTATCAGAACTATAAAACAAAGCCATTAGTAAATGAAGGCTCAGTACTGTTGGTCTCAGTTTTCCAGCTGTTCACTCACATCTGGGGACCACCACACCTGATCGTTCATCCTCACAACGTCAGGTGGCAGAGCTCATCCCTGTCAGGGTTCATGTACTGACAGCGTGAATGGGAGATGAACCAAACCCATAACGGCCTTCCGTTTATCCTTTCCTGGGATGTGCTCTTCCCAGCAATTTCATATGTATGTCCTCATTTTAGGATTATGTCGCTTGGACACATGTTAAGCGTTGTTAGGAAATTCAACACTAATCTGGTGGAAAAGGTTTGTTTCTGAATACATCCCATTAAGGAACAGGGTGAAAAGCACTTACATCGTACATGCCCATAAAAACTCTTGGATGTTATTTCAATACAGTAATAACCCAGGCAGCAATAGCAAATAATCCGGTTTCGCCACCCAGGGCACAACAGCCGTTAGCAGCACAGGTCACGCAAGGCTGAAAAGCTGGAGAGAAAGAAGCGATGCTGCTTCTGCCCAGCCTGGCAAGGAGACAAACCCACCTTTGTTCCCTCCTTTGGGACTCTCCAAGCAACAGGACATTCGCTCTACTCCCCTTAGGTAATTATTGATCTACTTCTGGAAAAGTAAGATGCACATGGAAAGAAAACCAAGAGGCAATAAGCTGCCCCCACTCACCCTATGGTGCAACCAGGTTCTGCCTCTATCGTCCAAACACAGTTCAGATTGTGGTCGTAGGGTGTTGGGTAGCCGGGAGACAGGATCCGTCCTGACGACTCTCCGTGGATAGTGCCCCCACACTCAGCTGAAAGAAACATATGGGTGAGCGAGAAGATCCAAGAGATATTACGGTTCTTACTTGGCAACACTACAAACCTCATCCTACGAATACAACAGGGAGTATTTCTTGCCATTTAAAGACATTCTTAAAAATCTACAAAACAAAGATAGTCATCCAATTCAGCTAAAAGACAGAGTTATCAGAGTAACCGTGCCCTTCCGCGCACATTCGTGACACCTGACGTGCTGTCAGAGCTTCCCTCCGCCTTCTGGACTTTGCAGTGAGTGAGGGCAGAGCCTGCCAGCATCCTGCCTTCCCCAATTCACACGCGGGGTGAAAGGGCTCAGTCCTTCCGCCTGTATCTGCAAAAAGCCTTAACGATTCATCGCTGTGCTAAAATGAAGAAGCCAACATACACTTGTATCTGCTAAATGAACCTCAAATGAACGGGAGGATTTCAAATACATTTTCATAACATATCCATTACAATTCCTCAGGTTTCCAGGTGCTCACACAGACACGACCATACATATGTAATAACTGTAGAGCGAATAGGGCAAATGTTAAGAAGATGCATAAATCACAGAAATTTGTCTTTTTCCCTCAATAATCAAGGCTGAAACTCAGCAGAGAGATACCGCATAAAGAAAGGTCCTAACTGATGGGAGAACACAGACTGCCGGTGTCTGAGCACATCTCTCACAACCATGAAAGCAGCCTGCTGGTGCCGGAGATCTCTCAGAGGACTACGTCTGTAAAAACCTCGCCATGTCCAGGAAACACCAGCTAACTACAAAGTCGTCAAGTTACAGACCACCAGCACTTCATTCAGACACACCAAACTCAATATCGGAATTTTCCAAGCAAGAAGAAATCCTTCTGGAGAGCTACAGGTAAGAGGGACTTAGCTCAAGAAAGACTGAGGGAGTGAAAGCGTCTGAGGATGTGGAATGGGATGTCATGTAGCTCTCAAATCAACATGACTTTGAGCTGTCAAACGCCTGGACACACGTTGATGCCTGCCGTTATCACAAAGTGCCACTCTGCTTAACACGCTCAAGCGAAAGGACAGGGATGGGAAGAGCAGCCGCCTCCTCACAGCGAAGCACGAAACCTCGTCAAACCCGTGCTCGGAGCTGAGTGTTTCGTGTTAATGCTGCTGCAGAAGCTCTGAAGAGACCAGAGCTCCCAGTCTGGAGTTGCCTTACACAGCATCCCTGCCGTGGTCCGAACACAGACAGGTGCCAGCAGTACCAGGGTTAACACCACAGGAATTAGCGAAGGAGGAGGAAAGGGCATTCAGAGCCGTGTCCCCAGGCAAAGAGGGATGTGGTGGAAGCAAGCCTTGTCGTCTCACCTACACAGGTCGGCAGGGGCTGGTCCCAGGCTCTCCGCTCCCCGGTCAGGCAGACCAGCACCCGGCTCCCGCGCAGGGTGTAGCCAGGGTCACAGCTGAAGGACACCGAGCTGCCAGCAAAGTGTCCCTCGTCGTGGACCTTGTAGCCAAACTGTGGGATGCCGGGGTCCTCGCATTTAATGAGTTCAAAACCTGGAGAAGGAGAAATGGTACCCGCTTTCAGCAGATATTTCACAGCCAGAAGATATTAGCACTGGATCATATTAATGTTTTCTTCTTTAAATCATTCGCTGGAGAGAAAAACACCATACTGAAAATGAATATTTTTCTAAACATTTGAACGAGATCCCAGAAATCGGGTATCTCAGCTTCGATCCAGTTTCTGTGTCACCCCTGCCTCGTTCACAACAGAAGAGGTTTGCTGGCATAACCATCGCCCCCACCCCAATTCCACTTTAGACGGTCCAGAAAGGACTGTTTCCTCTGCTCATGCAACTGTAACCCAAAAATACCCCATTACACCTCAGATTCCCACCTCGCAAGCATACGCGCCCAAGACTCACTGGAAAACTGCAGCTCAAAGCCTTTGCTCGTGTTCTCGCTGTTGGTGATGAACTCGAGCCACATGCTGCTGGAAGTGCTGTTGACGCTGGTGCCGAGCATTTCCGAGCGGCTGAAGGAGCCCAACAGCCGAGCAGAGCTATTGCTGCCATCATAGACCTGGGAGGAACGAGAAACACATACTGGAAAAGGGATTTTATTTGCTACCTCAAGGACCAAATCATCCAGGAGTGCGAACAGGGACAGTTCTAGCCACACAACACAGCCCTGCAAGCTGTGAAATTATCCCAGCTGAGAGTCTGCCCTGATGAGACTTCATGATGCTGCGCATCGGAGGAGCAGGATTTACACCCTGGAGGATCCGCATCCTTCCCCTTACCCCTGAGCTGATCCTGCACTCAGGGCTGGTTTTTCTGAACTGGGAAAAACATTTTCTCCCTACAGCAACTCACAGACGTGCCTTGACCCTGCCATTACTTAATAAAAAACACTAATTTCCCCCCCGCCTTTTCTTTCCTTTAGACAGCATGACTCTCCATGAGCATAAAGAGCAACTTCTCCCTAGCAGAGACTGATAGTAACTTTCCCCAGGAGCGGATGAGAAGTTGATGACAAACCTGTTGAAAGAGGATCATTTATTTCATGAGTCTATTCTTTGCATTAGCTGCACATCTCTCTTTCCAGCCATTTGTGAGCTGCAAATAGGCGGATTACACCGACCTCGCGGTGCAGAAGTACGGCACTTAAATAAGGACTGAGTTTTCCGGGAGGATGGCTTAGCACAGCAGCACACATCTTGTAATATTAATGCCTCTCCTACAGAACCATTTCTTTGTGGTTAATAGAAACTCAGCCTGGATTTGTCTCCTATATAGAGTCCTGAAACTTGTAAATGCAGATTAATCTGAGCATGGGAATGCTGAAGAGCTTGAGCCTGGAGTTCTGCATTTCAATAAACCCCTTTTTGGGACAAATCAGCCTTGATTCTTTAAAAAAACCCCACAAAAATAACACTAAGAACTTCAAACTTCCTTATGTGTGAACAGTTTCCCCTGCACAGCCACGCAGGTAAGAACTGAAGGTTAGCTGCAAAGGAAGAACCCCCGGCACAGCAAAGACACCTCCATTCTTAACGGATACAGGACTTGTTCGTGCATCCATCTGCAGGCTGAAGCCTCGAAGAACCATCCAGGCTGCGGTGACAAGGACATTCCCTATTGCCTTTGTGCTGCTGCCAGGCACGGCTACGAGCTGGGGAAGTTCAGGGGCACCGATTCCCTAAAATCCCACAAAATGTTTTTAAGCCCAGCAAACGAAGGCACAGCAGTGACACACTGATCAGTGTCCCTGGGCTAGAAGATATTTTGTCACAGATGCAGCACGCCTTGTGCCTGGCTCTAACCTTTGAGGGTACACACACAGACGGTATTCTCGCCCCGCTGCCATGCCTGCAGTTCCGTCTGGACCAGGGGAATTTCTTCAACACTTACCGACAGCACAGTGACTGTGGGGTACAGCAGCCCTGTGAAGGGGTTTTTGGGGGATGTCATTCCCATTCCTAGCAGGAGACCCTTCCTGACACCACCCCTGCACTGTCAGCACTGCCTTGGGGCATTTTCCAGAGGTCAGTCTCAGCCAACTCCATTAAAATTTTAGACCATCCCTTCCCTTTCAGATCTTGCTCTCATTAGCAGCACGGCAGCGCTTCACTGCTAGAGATGGAAGAATTACCTTGAGGACATCTCCTGCCTCCAGTTCAAAAGTCCTGGCTTTCAGCTGGATCCCCTTTCCCGGCTGGGTCTGGATGGAGTAGATGCACTCGTGGTTGTTGTTATAGTTTATTGGGTAGTTGGGGGACAGCAGAACACCTTGGGTTCCAGTTACAGACGAACCACATTCAGCTATATAAAGACACAAAACCACATTTTATTAACCACTTGTATATTCCAGCCACACAGCACATGCAGGAGATTCCTCCAAAAGGGCACAGACGCTCACTCCTTCCTACACCCAGCTGCTAACGCATCCACGGGCTCTACTGCCAAGTGTAGATAGTGAACAAAACATACTTAACAGCACTTCTGTCATCATTAAAGCTCAGTTGCATTAACACCCTCTCCTTACATGGACAGGGAAACTGAGGCACAGAAAGCCGGCGTGCTCAGCCACTATCCTGGGACCCAATCCCGAAAAACATTCTCAAATCCCTGGAAAGCCACCAAGTGCTCAAAGCAGTACCTGTGTTTATGTTCCTTCCTGATTCATGAACCAGAAGGAAAATAAAAACATATTATTGGATTCAAATATTTCAAGTCTTTTCCATATTTACACAAAGCTCATCCTATACCTACACACAGAGTATAAAAATCAGGGAATGCACTCAGCACAGCACTGACTGCTGGCACCACGTGCTGCAGGTGCCAGAGCTCTCTGTGCAGACAGATAGACTCAGTGAAACTTCCAGATAATTACAAACGATAAAGCTATGTCTGAATTTCAAAAGCTTCCCCAAAATAATTACCTGAAAGCTAAGAGGGCAAAATGTGACCTTATTTGTTGTTAGCTCTGCCCCCAGCTCGCTGGTTCATCATTTGGCAGTGGTGTACAGGACCTCTTCTCCCTCGCTCCCTGCACCTTTTTTCTTCCCAGCTTTGCAGCTAATAATTACATCCATTCCCATTAGAAAAAAGAGAGAAAAACAGAGATCCTTTGGCCTCTCAGTGTCAGAAACTCGCTCGAATTTACATGTCTCTGTTTCCTCCAGAAACGTCACTCAAGGAGCGGCGGCGGGCGCAGGTTTTTCTGCGGCACACGCAGAATTTGACCTTTTCTGCTCAGAGCCGAGGGGCTGGGGACAGAGAAGGGAACGCTGGCGTGGGCATCCCTGCGTACCTCCTGCTGGGGGAACCGCAGGGCAGGGGTGGGCAGCGGTCCTGCGACTATCCTCCCTTCCCTGAGATGCGCTAGTGTCCTATGACAGGTTACAAACGATCATGATTTCAGAAAGAAGGGAATGAGGAAAGAAAGCCCTTTCCCTGTCCTTATTCACTACGACTGCAGTCCAGCCCTGTTCCGTTACGTTCTTCTAGTACGACTCCTCTGCTCCTTCTCCAGATCGGCTTCCTTTTCTACTCTGCATAGTGTGAACAGTGCTTGATTTTGAGCCAAATTTGAATTTAGAAGATTTGGGTGACTCAAAAAACTTGGCAGAACGGTACTCTTTAGAGAAGGAGGAGGATGGCGCTTCGGAGGTTTGACCTATCTTGGGGGTATCAGGAGACCACGGTTCCATTCTTCTGGAAAAATGCAAAAACCATCCTTCACCTCTGTATATTACATATTTTAATTTTAAACTTTTAAGGACACTTGAAGTAGTGAACAGACACTCAAGGGCATCCGGTGCCAGCAGCACCACTATCGCGACAGCCCTGAGCTCCACCAGCGCTCCCGGGACAACGTGGACACGAGCTCTTACCTGCTGTTAGCACAGGGAGGAATTAAAAGTCCACAACACTCCCACACAGCTTAAGGGTCTACTTGCAAAACAGCATCCCAAGTATGTCGCCTGGCGAGGACGCTGGCCGCCAGCCGCTGCTGCCGTGTCCAGGTGCCCGATCCCAGCTCGGAGCACTGCAGCCTGCTTGCTGCACACATACATACAGTCCCTCAACAGAGGTACATCTGCCACGTGCTTAGGATTTTTCCTTACTCCCTGATTAGCTCCCACATGAGCAAACCAGGAGTTGTTGTTTTCTTGGCCTATTTACCCTGAAAGATTCCCAGCTGTAGAACACCGGCTCCTTGTTCCTCCGACCCCGGCGTTCTGCCGGCGCGGCTGGGGAGCGGCGCTGCGACCGGCCCTGCAAACAGCTCTGGGGATGGGCTCGCTCTGCCTCACCGCCACGAGTCCTTCCCAGCACACAGAGCTGCTGCAGCTGAGCGATGCCATCCGAGCGCACGTGATGCTCTCTGCACGGACTCTGCCATCTCCGCTGGTCCTCCAGCAAATCCGGAGGGTGAGGTCATGGAGCAGCAGCAGATATGCTGAGAGGAGGTTCTTTGGAGGCAACTGTCTCCTCCTCCTCTCTTGCCATGTACGAAAAGCAGGACGTTGGCTTTAGCACAGGTTACCCAGGGATGATGCTGGAGATGTCACCACTTGGAGTCTGAAGCAGCAGCTGGTGGGGAGCATCCCTACCTTGGAGAAATGGGTTGGCCAAAGGAACAAACTGCTCTCGTTTCTCTCCAGACCCATCTCTAGAAGAGGAATTGAATACAAAGTGTCTGGGCTGTCTGGCAAAACCAATTAAATCTCCTGCGATCTTAACAGGGAAGTCTCTGATACCCATCCACATCCAGGGTGAGCGCACAGAACCGAGCGTGCCGCAGGGACACTGCGGAAAAAGCTGCCACCCTGCCAGCAGAGCCCCGTGAAAGCCACCAGACAGGGCATCCCACCCCTTAGTAGAAACCCAACGTGTTAATTCAAGGGCAACTGCAGCAGGACTTGGGAGATGAGAGAAATCGTGCCCACTATGGAAGTCATCGTGCCCACTTAGCGATGATGGCTGAGGATCAGGTTTGAAGCTTTGTTGTGATTCTTTGTGATTTCTCTTCCCCTGATTATCTTTCTCTGCAACCTGATAATTATTCATGCCCTGAAGAGGCTGCTTGTCACAGCAGGATGACGCAGCCCTGTGACCTGAGCGCTAAGCAGCGCTGGGAAAGGCGTTCAGCGTGACACGACTCCACAGACCCAGAAAGCAGAGCGGCTCTCGCTGGGATGCTCTCTTTCCAGTGGCCCTCAAAGGTCACTAACACATCAGGAGAACCTACCTAGCAGGCTTTGCCACAGAGAAAACAAGGAAGAGACCTGGGCTGCCTGATTGGAACGAACCCTTCACAGCTCCGGGTGAGCCAGGCGGTGCCAGAGCTCTCAATTATTTCCTACTTATTAAATTGTGCAACAAAAAAAAAGAAAAGTTAAAGCTTTTTACAAGGCCTGAAGCATCCTTTTTCCTTTCTGCTTCCCTGCTGCAGCAGATTGCTACTTCTGTTCTTCACGCTAACCGTTTCGCTGGAGGGTCCCGTGGGCTGGGCAGGGGGCTGCTCTGCAGACCCTGCGACACGACTGCCTGCAGCCCATCGGCGGCGGGGATGGCAGCCGGGGACCAGCGCCGTGCTGCTGATGGAGTTTTCCTCTCCTCTACCCTTACACTTATTTATTAGTATAAATAATGGCTGGAGGGGCTGCAAAAAGGACTTGCAATGGTTAGGAGGAGAGGGAGGGGAAGGTGTATAAGGTGCAAAAGTCCTTTAGAGGATGAGGAAAAGGTAGAAGCCAGAGGAGGTTTCCCAGAATTACCGTGGAATTTGCATTGCTTAAGATCACCCACCCAGCAGCAGCTTTCACGCCTGGACTATTAAGTTTTACAACACTGATTCAAAGGGAGGATGGCCTTAAAACCAAACCATGCTGTTTTACAGCAACCAGCCCAAAAGCGATGACAGGTCTCCCCCCTGATGCATTCACTTGTACGACCCCTGGGGCTCGACTGCAGCACTGGGGATGGGCTGCAGAGCCATGGGGCTGATGCTGTGCCCCAGCCTGGGAGGGGGCTGCAGCCCTTCCGCCCGTCCCTCTCGTCCCCACGCACCGCTGCAGGGCTGGAAGCCCACTCCAGCTCCCTGTCCCCCACCCCTGCACCCACCACCCCGCGAGCTGAACGATGCCATCCTGGGGGATGCCGCCCGTCCCTGCCCACCGAATCAATCCAGCACGGGGCAACCAACCAAGCAAAATGAAAGCACGTGACCACCTACCAACACACCTTGGCAGAGGCGAACTCCACACACGCCGTCTCCCCCCGAGGCAGGTGATGCGGGACGCGCCCTCCAGCCGGTACCCGGGGAAGCAGGAGAAGGTCAGCACATCCCCCACTCCGAACTGCAGCCCCTTGCGGATGCTGTAGGCTGGGACCTCCGGCTCGTCACAGGGCTCCAAATCGTATTCTACAGGGGACAAAGGGACATTTACAGAACGGCAGGATGACACCTTGTTCTCCCCAGCGAGGGTTGCCCAGTCCCTGACTATGAGGATGAGGAGGGAGCTCCGAGTTTTGACCCAGCTGCAGGGAAGCTCTGCAAAGGAAGCATCTACCAAGACGTATGTCCTGCTCGAGCCACGGAGACCAACTCGGGTTCCACTCTCGACATCCAACCCCCCAGGGTGCCACCAGGGTCTGATTTAACCCAACTCAGAATACAACAGGTCTCATCTTCTGCCACTGTTATCAGACAAACAAGAAAGTGATATCAGTGGTGACAAAACACGATGGAAATTTGTCATTCTCCCGCTGGTTTAGTCAAACGAAGATGAATTGATCCGGATGGGATTTCTGCTGCCTCTCCATTACTAATCCTGAGAATGAATCAACGCAGCATCTTGCTTGGGGAATGCAAGAGAACATTTAAGCTCCTGCTAACGAAAGGTCATGCAGCATTGTGGCTAACACCCAAATGCACGTCTCCAACCACAAAACGTTTTGAAGGAAACCTCTTCTGAGGGATATTTTTTGAAAAAAAGACGTGCAAAGTACCAAGTTTGTACATATATATCTAAAGGAAGCTAAAAATATAACTGACTCCCATTTTCATTTTTCCAAGACAGGAAAGAAGTCTCCGAATACACTGAAAATAATTATAATTACAGTTCCAATTAGACACACTCTTTTTCAAGGCAAAAAGCCATTTTTTTCCGCCATCAAAATGAAAGTTAATTGGAAACTTTCTGACTAGTTTTCACAGAATATCATATGCAAATCCCTGACTTCAGAGGCCAGAACAAAGGCACTGGAAACACCAGTTCTATCTGCATCTATGGCAACAGCTCTGCCCGTCAAAGACAGCGAGCGCATCAGCACCAAGCTCCGCAATGAAAACGGTCGTTCCTCTCCCACCCCACGGGCCACATTCGCGGCTGCTGGCCTCAGGACTGGACGGTATGCTGGAATACAGAAATGGACAGCACCAGGACGATCAGCTCTGTCCGTTAGCTGACTGTTTTACAGAACGGCTCCTCGAGGCACTCGGGCAGTGAAGATGACATTTTCTGACACGTGAGCACAGGCAAACACTTCGGCAGTCATTTGTAGGACTTTGGGGCTAAAGGACACAGTTAAACACCTCGCACGCTTCATGACTTACAAGAGCGATGACCTGCCCCGTGTAGGCACGTGTGCCTGCCTTTGAGCCTCTCTCCAGCAGCACCATACTTCTGCTACTTTGCATTGACAATTTCTAAAAAATCGGGAATTTAATTGGAAGAAACCAGGATTTTGTACAATCACAAGCAGCGGGAGCATTCATCAGAAGCGGTTTGGTTCAGTAAGCACAGGGCTGGACGCTGGAAACGCCCAGGGCAGGAGCTGTCTCGCCCGGCCAGCCCAGCAGGAGCGAGAAGGGCTGCGGCAGCCAGCAGAATCCCGCATCCCTCGCTGCCCTGCTCTGTGCTCCAGGGCTGCTTTCAGCTGCTATCAGAGCAGGTCAATTAGAGGAAGCCCAGCAAGAAAAAAAGAGTGTTTCCAGTTCCCCAGCGATGGCACTGGGCTCACGGAAACCTGGCCCAGGCTGGAGGCAGCTGCAGAGGCTGGGTCGTGGGATGAGCATCCAAGTGGAGCAACGAACCAAAGGAAAAAAAGAGACCAGATGGACCACGGGAGTGACCAGCTCTGCCCTGCTTCTTCTCCAAGGGGTCCAGATTGCTCAACACTGACTTCCAAAGGATGCCATCTGCCCCAGGTTCCATGCTGGAGATGGAAATGCTGTAACTACTGCAGGGATTTTCTTCTGATAAACAGAGAAGGCAGGCACCCGGAGGAAAGAGGGACAGGCATACCCCAAGAGAACGCTGGCTGAAACTCCATCAACAGATCAGCAAAGATGACCATGGGAGGAGGGTGAAGGCAATGAACACCTCTGTAGTGGGATTTCATTCCAGTGGGTTCAACCCAGTCATCTACTGGGGCTTGAGGCAGACAACATTGCTACCTCTGGTGATACAGGGACTGCAGAGAGAATATTTCTTTAGGACATACTGTGGTTTAATGCTGGAGTAACTTCCAAAAGTTACTCCACAAAAGGAGTGACCACCAGTGACCCAAACCACGTGCACTGCATCAACAAAGTTATTCCCAAGATTTGCAGAAAAGCAGGAAGGAAAGGGAAGAATGAAGCCTTTGCCCACCCCTGTTCTTACCCGAGAAGGTGATGTTGAAACCCTCGTAGGACATGGAGAAGTCAGAGATGAAGCGAATTTGAGCCGAGAAGTTTCCGAAGAGCCCTGCGCTGAGCGGGGCAGGGAGCCGAGAGCCCGTCAGCTGCTTCAGGGGCTGAGCAAAGCTGGTGTTTTCGGTGATGAGGAGGTAGTCGTGGCCATTCTCCAAGTGAAAGGTATGAAAGGTGAAGAACACACCTGCAGGAGAGGAAAAACAGAGACAGCTTCAGCCAGCAGCGTTCATACGGCACCCCTTCATCCCAGAGCCCCTCTCCTCTCCCCAGGATGACACCAGTATTGATCCCCTGTTTCCCAGTAAATAGCCCGAGCGAGAAGAAAAAGCACACTGAAAAGAAATTAAATAGATGAAAAAAGGAAAACAAAGGTAGAGTACAAAGCCCAGAACAGAGGGAGGCAGTTAAGATCTTCAATCCCTGTGCCTTTGTAGCACGGGAACAAAGACGACACAGGCTCACTCCAGGGATGGACCAGCAGCAGGACGGACCGAGCCTGGCAGCTTAGAGGGGTATTTTACTGTACAAGGGTTGACCTTTCGATGGGTAACGTCAGCAG